ACAGTCGTCGGATATCCTTCGCAAATGTAACCACTCCTCAAACAACCAATGCCTACGCTTCAGTCAGGCTCATACATGACGCTTATCATGGAATTCAATTTGCAACGGTTGAATTTGTTCATGCTTACATTCAGGCTTCGTTTCGTCACACTTCTTCCTTCTTCTACGGCAAGTGAAGCAGCCTGTACGGCGGCGCTTGATTTGTACTCGCATGTTGGTCTGGCTATGTTCGGCTTGTCCCATAGCATCATTGGAATCGCTTGCGTGCGACATCTTAGTGCTTGCACAACAATCAGTTGCAAACGAGGTAGTGTTCATGATCAGTGACGAAATACATGAATCCTCTAAGCCCGCAATGATTGTGATAGCAAGTGGGGGAGCTCCTAATAAGCTGAACTACTTCCTAGTTTTCAAAGGTCTTATCTCAAGCAATGCGCCGGCCTTCTTTAGCGCGGAACGCTACCCAGCCAGATCAACGTCTCTTATCAGACCAGCGGGTCTCAGTAGGTCCCAGTACCCAAGTGTGTTCCTAGTCGACGCGGGACAGTTCTTCCACGATGTCAGCCTTCGGAAAGGTACCAACATGTCAGTATAAAAATCAACAATTCAACATGCTATCGGCCGATGTAAGATTTAGTCTTAGCATTCAGAACATGTTCTGAGGCTCAATTTGCTCTGTATTCTATGTACAATCAATGCCTTGGCTCTGCTATCATTTACGCTGGTACATCCGATGCAGTTTTCCGTAGCTGTGCTTCACACCACTCTTCCACCACGTCACCCCACACCTGCTTCGCTTTATATTTGGCCATCTCTGGAGGCATGGCACGAATGGCGCCGAGAAACTCCCTAATACTTTCCGGCTCGTTCTCAAGTTCTGTGATTGGCAACATGTATGTCCGAACTGTGAAGAGAATCGCCCTAGTTTTCGGCAATCTTCGAAGAGTTTGACGTTCATGCCGGATCCGAATGTCTACGATCTTCGGTGGCTCTGGAAGCTCTGCAAGGAATGGATCTTGTTGAAACAGTACATCAGTGGTTTGGATGAAAAAGTTATGGCGACAAATTAAATCTTCCGATTTCATTTTCAGGAAGTATCTATACTGAAGTTAGTCTTGCCCCTATCAATAGTTTTCGTACAGTTAGGTTTCTCAGATGTATTTAGAAGTGAAACACACCTTTCGATAGATTTGCGTAGCTTCTCCTGCCACAGAGGAACTGGTCCGTGAATCTTCCAGAGAGGCCAACCTATGCGCTCATCGAGTCTCCAGCCAGCAGGAGCCATACTGAAACTCGCAGCCCTGTTTTATGCCAGTTAACGATAGTTTCGCTGATTGGTACTGGCGTCTTACAGGTAGTGCTGGTCTGCGTCATCACCAAAGCCTTGAATTAACAGATTTAAATCTTCCATGGCTAATTGTGCCGCTATCTGCAAGGGTGGCAAATCGAAAGGCTCTTTGATTCTGAATGTGCGCTTGGTGAGGCTGTTATGTATGTAGTCTGGCTTTCCTTCGGGGGAAAAGAAAAGACGCGGGTAGCGTCTAGTCATAAACGAGGCTACCATTTGTAGAGCTTCGATGCAAGCCATCTCTGAGCCCGGCAAAAGCTGCATGACTCCTTCCCTGTGATTCTCTACAAGCCATTGCCTCAACTTTTGCTCTTTCTCATATTGATCATCGATTGCAAGCCAGTCGCTCTGTTCGCACTTAATGATTCCCATAGTCATCACAAACTTGCCCGACTTCCACGGTCGATAAGAGGGCGGTCGGGTTCCCGCCACGTTGAAATCAGGAGATTGTGATATTTCGACGTCATTGTAGTCAAAATGTCCTTCAGTCACTCCATGGGTGATATTTTTTGCAAGTTTCGACGGATTTTGTTTCACCTTGCAATACACGTACCATGTTAATACTACCACAGCAGCCACGAGGACAATAGACGAAACAGACATTTTTACATACGCTCCTAACCATCAAGCAATGGGCCAAGGCGCAAAGCTTTTGCCAGTCCTTATCAATCAATGAGCCCAAAAAACTTCCTTCGAGTATCGCTTGTCTGTAAAAGAGATACACTAGCGCGTCAAGTGTGGTCAACGATGATGCCCACTAGGCGATCACTGGCGGAGCGCGCGAACCGCTATCGCCGCAATCATGACCCACTATACTCTACCAGGAATCTTCCATCGTGGCGGTTCGCTCGCTCATGCTTGAACATCATGGTGTCTCAATAGGAATTGGCAATCTTTTGCGTAATGAGGCGTTAGCCTATTGATGTCACTGCACATCCACTTCCTGTCCCATCGACATCTGTGGAAGCCGATTTAGATCGGAACTTCAACGTCAAGCTCCTACTTACTGATCTAATTTCTCTGACTTTATGGTCATAAATAATGTTTTCTGATGCATAATAAATGATCTAATCTGCAAATAACAAGCATCAATCACTCATGTCAAAATGAGTGAGGTACCAGATATGTTTACTGGCTACGGCGCCAAATCATCCGCAAATTGGCAAACCCTTGAGAAAGTTAGCAGCTGCGACCTCAGATAATTGCGTATTCGTAATCTGAGCTAACATAATCTGAAGTTTCAATTTCAACCGAAGCCATTTGAAAGCCATGATGTGGACATCGAAGTCCAATACTGTGGCGTCTGTGGCTCAGATTTACATACGCTAAGCGGCGGATGGGTGAGTGGTGACCATCTTCTCAACCGCGATGGAAGACTTATCTCCAAAACAGGGTGGAACTATGTATCCGTCTGTTGTTGGTCATGAAATTGTAGGAATTGTCCGACGCATCGGTTCTGACGTGAAAGACATCAAAGCCGGAGATCTCGTTGGTGTTGGTCCGAATGTCTGGAGTTGTGGAGAATGTTCGGCTTGTGAAAGGGATCTTGAGCAATACTGCGTCAGTATAAATACAATTTGAATTACAAGTGAATTTCCTAATATTCATTAGCCCGCCTTGGTCGAGACTTACAATTTCAAGTATGAAGATGGTTCAAGAAGCTGGGGAGGATACTCTGATTTTGTAAGGGTCAATGAGAGGTATTGAGAAATCAATTCAATTGCAGGTCTTATTCTGACCGTCTTTTACAGATTCGTCTTTCCCGTGCCGGATGGTCTTGCACCGGAAATGGTGGCTCCATTGTTCTGCGCTGGTCTGACAGTCTTCTCCCCACTAAAGCAGCATGCAGTCGGTCCAGGTATGCGAGTTGGGGTCATTGGCATTGGGGGATTAGGGCACTATGCGGTCATGTTGGCGAGCGCAATGGGAGCATCTGTGACCGCGATATCACACTCGACACGAAAGAAAGAGGATGCACAGAAAATGGGCGCCACAAAGTTTGTCTCTACAAATAGTGAAGACTGGGACAAGAAGGAGGGTCGAAGCCTGGATCTAATTATCTGCACTTCATTTGACAAGGAGATGCCGCTGGATAGATATCTTACCTTATTGGATGTCGGCGGAACTCTTGTCTATGTTGGCATTCCAGAGCGTAACCTCCCGAGCTTACCTCCGCCTCTCATGATTGGCAACAACTCAGCGCTCCGAGGCTCGAACACAGGAAGCAAAAAGGGAGTTCTTGAGCTTTTGGATCTGGTGGCATCCAAGGGAATCAAGAGCTGGGTTGAAACGATCCCTATGTCACAGTGTTCCGACGCAATTCGAAGACAACTGAACGGAGAGTCTCGGTACAGATTTGTGCTCAAAAGGGATTGGTAGACAGGGCAAAGCAACCCATCTCTAAGACGATTGTAGAGCTCGAGTATGACGAGTCTGATGAAACTATATTAAGATGATATCATCTCACAGCTACTGATCATACTTGCAGTCATGTCAAGCTTCATTCAAGTGACGTTAATGCTTGTCTCCGTTACACAAGCCTATGCAAGTATCGGTAATTTGGGGGTCGCTCCGAACCACCGGTAAAATCGCCGAAGAGACCTCAGGTTGAAATACTTTTAGATTCCGCTTAATTCAGGTTTGCAGAGCTGTGTCGTGCCGAATTCGGTCAAGTACGGGCACCCTGCAATACTATTAAGTGGAATTGGAAGGCTAGAAGCCTAGAATCATGCCACTTTGCCAGTTTTAGTGGATCGTCCTGGGTGTTGTTGTAAGTGGGGCCGGGGTTGGGCGGCGCACATGTCAGATGCAGGGTGCCCAGGTGTTCGCAGTCCGCTTTCAACAACACCCCATTGGTCACCGTGTCGAATATGTGGGAGATGGGACTGGCTACCTAGGTCATACCGAAGACCCGGTTCTTTGGGCTTACAAAAATACATTGCTGCCCAAGTTCGCTTGTACAGTAATGTAATAAACGCTGGCGATGATGTGATTCGCCTACCTGTCACAGCTTAATTCTTTGGCATGGCCAGATAATTTTCGTCGCGGAAATGGCGTAGCAAGGCACTTCCACAAAACTCTACCCTGAGTAGTAATCTTGGATCGCAACGGGACTAACCGCCCACGAGCAACGCCAATGGCGCTTCCAAGTTTTCTGAAAGGCTTATTTATTCCGTTCGGTTTCATGAGCGTACGCGACTCCTGAGGTTAGGATGTGACAGCAAGGGGGCGTACACCTGCAAGTACGGTTCGCAACTTCGCAGTCGTCTCGGTGTGGAGCACTCCGTATCCCTGAAGACGGCACTAGGAACCGTCATCGGACAATCCCGGCCCAAAGCGTGGAATACCAGGTCCACTGTGGGCCTTGCTACAAGACCCCTTATCAGCTGCTAGAAGAATTAAAAATGTTCAATGTCGCCTCTAGGCTGGTAAAGTTTTCCCTAGACTGTTGTTTCTTATTTGTTTGTCGTGTAGCATCCTGGGGCTCTGAAGTGCGAGATAGCTTCAATTTCTGTAGTCATTTGAAAATTTCTTTGCCGTGTTTTATCCGATATTGCAGGCCTACTCGTGTTACAGCAGCGCTTATTTCAAAACACACACAGCAACATTAACAGCTAGCATTCGCCCTGTCATCCGTCCGGACTTGTTAATCATGGGATTGATAACTCGGACGGTCACCTTGACTAATTTTCTGATCGCCAGTTCAGCTCTTGGCTTTCAAGTCTTCGTTCTTTACCCGTGGCACAAAGATCTAGACGCGGGTTTCGATCAATTGAAGAAGGAACACGTACGCGTTCTCGGTGCCGTAGGGGATGGATCCGGCTTGATCAGAGACCGTAAGGCCGTCCGTTCTGCCAAGGACTCCTCACAAGTCAAGGATGCAGAGCCCCTGAGAGCGGCGTCTCTCTACGCGAAATATGCCTTCGCCGGCGCCTTTTGCTGCTCGTTCACTCATGCTGTTCTCACTCCTGTCGATGTGTAAGCCGTTGCCGCCCACCGCTCGAGACACAGGAGCCGTGTCTCGTGCCGAACTACTCCTGCATGTGGAATCTGGAATGTTCTATCCGTTTTGAGTATCACTAACATGCTCCAGAGTGAAGACAAGAATACAGCTCGAGCCGCTGAAGTACGATCGTGGTATCTTTGGCACTGCACGGCAGATTGTCTCGACAGAAGGTAGCTCCGCTTTGCTCACCGGCTTTGGTCCTACTGTTGTCGGGTACTGCCTGCAGGGCGCGTTTAAGTTTGGTGGCTACGAATTCTTCAAGCAACGGGCCGTAGACTATCTCGGATACGACACCGCGGCAGCGAATCGCAATGCAGTCTATCTTGCATCGTCAGCGGCGGCTGAGTTTCTGGGGGATATTGCACTCTGCCCGTTCGAGGCAACGCGCATTCGGCTTGTGTCAGAGCCCACATTTGCTCGCAACTTCGTCGGAGCATTCACCAAGATCGCGAAACAGGAGGGTTTCACCGGCTTCTACTCAGGATTGAGTCCTATAGTACTCAAGCAGTCAGTCTTCCGTGATCTTTACTGGCCTGATAGTTCTAGTGACTAACAATTTGAAAAGGGTTCCATACACAGCGGCGACATTCCTCGTTTACGAAAAGGCAATCCAGGTCGCCTATAGTATCTTCGACCGATCGACACTTTCATCTGCCGGGATGACCGGCATCAACCTTGGATCGGGACTAGTAGCAGGTGTCGCAGCTGCTATTGTATCCCATCCGGCGGACACCGTCTTGAGCAAGATCAATAAGGAGAAGGGTATCCCTGGAGAAAGCACACTTCGACGCTTGGTTCGGATAGCAACTGGGCTGGGCTTGCGCGGCAGCTTCACCGGCCTACACGCGCGTATTGTCATGGTCGGCGGTATGACTGCTGTGCAATTTGCAATCTATGGTGACATCAAGAGGGTATGAATATCCCCGATTTTAGGCCACGTCAGACTAACTTGTGTAGGCTTTCGGCGCGACGAATGGCGTTGAACTCAAGTAAATCAACCGCCAGTGCCATTCTATCTCTGAAGTCGTTTGCCTGGAACTTGAAAGTCTCGGCTGCAAGCCTTAAGAGGTGGTATATCAATGAGGCTATGGGGGAAATATGAAGGAATTATTTGTTTAATCGCTGGGCGATGGGACGAATGGCCAGTGGCAACTTAGAACTTTATTTGATGAGTAAAGCAAGAGTGTATGAAGTGCAATATACATGAAGGCTCTAGAATCGGGATGAATGCAGATCTGAGTAGCCGAGACTACTCTAAGGATCCATAGAAAGCTGGCAACATATATACAAGATCCATCATCTCGACGAAAGTGACATTGAATCCGCGCTCATTGGTGATGCTAGGGTCTCGAATATCTTTCCTCGAGTCAAAAGATGTGACAAGCTGTAGAGCGCGTACGAGCATATAAATAGGTAATGGAAAGTTCATTGAACTATATAGATCATACAAAAGAGATTTGGGTGCTTGCACACATATATATACTAAATAGACCCCTTTCTGGGCTTGGGGAGCTTACCACTTACTTAGCGGGGCTCCCGTTCTGTCACAATAGCGTTAGGAGATCCAAACCCCCCTTCCCAATAGACAACCACAAATCCTCGAACCTTATCCTCTCGGCGAACACGTCACCCTGTTAGCTACACCACAACCCACCATGAACCTCGCGAACTTCATATGACTTTGACGTGAAAAGCCTGAATGAGCCGTTGAGTCATCCCGACGCATCGGAGACAGGCCATGGCCATAAAAGCTCGCGTTGCATTCGCAGGGAGAGGCTTCAACAAGCCATACCAATACAACATTTCCATCGATTCGAACAACGACGTACATCATCTCCATCACCTCCAATCCTGCAAGCACATCTCTCTCTCCAGCATGACTCTTATTATTCTGCCTCGCGTCACTGAGAAGTTATAGACAAATAAAGTAGTGTAGCTGTAGAATACTCCTGATAGCCATGTCGTGAGAAGGCTTCTCCAAGTCCTCTTCTCACATAGAGACTCCGTGAAGAGATCTCGGGAAGTAAAGGAAAACTTTCACGGGACAGACTGTTAACTAATTGATAGCTAGGGGCCTATTTTGGCCGGGATCATTCAGTTTTCCTAACAATCTACTAACAGTAGGTGCTAAGAAAATTTGTGAAGGAGGGAAGTGCTCGTAAGATGGGTGAATCAGCTATGAGGCGACGGGCCTGGTCAGGGCGGAAACCCCTTCGGTACTGGGTTCACCAGCACCCTTCTGATACAGTAGGCGGGGGTTAAGTAGAAGATAGCGAAATAGCTTTCTAGCGTTCGTGTGGCTTTGTTGTGCCAGGAAGGAATGATATGGTGAGCTCTGGATGATGGTTTAGGGCTTGTGGATTGAGAGCGTGAATATCGATAATGGGTTCGTTCAATTCTTGAGAGGTTGACGTCCAAGGTGACAATTACTACCCCAAAGTCCAAAGTCATTCATCAAACTTTTCGCATGCCAGGACCCCGATACTCGGCTGACCACAAAAATAACGCGGATAGGGAGGAGGTGAGCAGCCCCCTGTCATCTCAGCGGCGAAGTAATCATCCAGCGACTCGTCTAGGAGCTGTATAAAGTCGAAAATGTTCATTCCGGTGGTGAGCTCCCAGTTCATATCCCCGTGTTCGACTTCGACAAACCTACAAGAGTTGCCGGCAAATGTTTGTCTGCTCGCTTCTGGAGCCCGCGTTCCTGGTCGCCGACGAATCTGATAGTCAATGAACCAGAGGTGTTCAACCCATCGCATATCAAACGAAGCAGCTGTTGCGATGCATCGAAGCGGACCAGTCTTATCATAGCACGGCTGTTGATATATTATATTGTAATCACACCATGCCGGGTCGAACTCTAGGGCAAGATTGCGTACTCCCATGCCAATGATAAGGGGGGTCCCAGATTTAACATCCTCCCACCTAATAGTGTCAAAATTGTATGGTTGAATGCATAGTAGATCCGACCATGGAAAGATGGTGAATTCTTGTCTCTGTCCGTCGTAGCAGAATGAGGCTCCCAGTGGAAGTCGATCGAGCTCATGTGACATCACACGATCTGCATCGATCCAAGCACCACTCTCCTTGATCTTGCTGACCCAAGTGTCCCAATCAAGTGAAGAACGGCACCGTCGAAACCGCCACCGAGACTCGCTACAAGCTCCTAACAAACCGAGTTCACACATGTATGCCGACTGATTCGATTTTGCCCATGACAACTTCCTGAGCCCACTGCACTGTGGTGCTGCCAGACTGTAGTGCTTGTTACGGTTCCCGTTGATAATATCATTTGACGAAAGTGACGCGAGGTCCGTCTGCATGTTCACGAGAGTGAAGAACTGTGCTCCGGGCGGGCGGTCTAAGGTTGACACCACCGCAAGGTCCCAGATAATATGTCTCAGTTCCGCTGGCAATCTTTTGAATGGATAGAAGGTGTGGAAAGCCATGATGGTATTTTTCCTGTGCTAGCGCTGGTGTGTGGTCGACCTAATGAATTGAGCGGAGCGCCTCAATAATTGACTGGCGCGATCTTTGTTCTCCGCTGAGGTTTCAACGGCAAGACATCTTGGGCGAGGATGCGTTTGAATGCACTTGACCGTTCAGTATCAAGTAGCGAAGATCGCGGAGAGGATTGTAGGTTGATCGAGGGCAGGAAGCAGCTGAAACGTGCGGGAATTTGCTGTGCGGCTCTGGCTGCTGTTGCTATACACGTAATGAAGGCGATGAGAGTGATCGTTGCGAAGATCACAACAAGCGCAGACAGAGGCCGTCAGCATGCTATGTTCTTTTGGACGAGATTAAAGGATAGGGAACTGAAAGGTTCGGGCATTTATATTTGATGATGAGGTGAGCTTTCTCCGATATGTTTTGCTGTGAAATGGTGTGAATTGCCTACTTAGATACCCTTTCCACGTACAGTACCCACTCAAATTAGGTTTGGCACCCACTAACAGCGCTGTAGTTAGGTACTCTACACTGTAGGTTCTGTCCCTAAGCCATATTAGACATGAACAGCAATTCTGGCAGCTTGGAGTTCTCCCGTTGGACCTTGCATTGAAAATCTCCGTGACTCACTCCGTTGCGCCCAATTTTTCCTCGGGCTTTGAATGCCGCCAGTGAAAAGCCAAAGGAGACGCCTATAATAGACGTCTCTTCCCTGTACGCGGCGTCGTGTCTGGTGATCATGATGAGACTAACGTTGTTACCACTGGCGTCAATTTCAACAGATATTTGCAGTGGAAGTTGGTCCTGATCGTTGAATTCGGCATGACTGCAGTATTTCTCACAATCAGCCATGCAAAACCAATCTACTTGCGGGGGGAGCAAATACCATCTCGATTCCCAGCTCTTGAGAAGGATTGCAAGATGCAATTCCACTCTACAAGTCAGCCAACCTTTACGCTCAGATACCATATCATTGGTGACCAAGGTGAGCTAGTGCCGGACGGCGTCAAGCGTAATCTCGGCCTTTCAGGACCCTATGTCTTCTGTCTTTGTAACTATGAGAAGAACATGACCGACTCATTCACCAAGGATGGCTGGTCCAGACCAGCGACAAAGGTTACATTTACGCTTTTCATACCCTCATCCTCTGTGGCCATATCAGATTCGATCATTATCAATAGTGTCAAGTACTTCTCTCAAGCTGGAATCAGCTCTGAAGATTATAGATATAATATTAGCTACTTATCGTATCGGCTATACATATGTTATTCGCGTGACGAACAGAAATCCTAGACGTCGAACACATTAGGACATACACTAGAAGAGCCAACTTGTTGTGGCAGCGTTGTAAGGACCCTGAAACTTAGCATCTCCAGCATTAAACATGACTTCCTTTGACGCCTCCTGTTTGTAGCTTACAGCAAGAGAGAAGCGAAACAGAGACCCTAGCTACGACAGAAACTGCTGCCTAGAAGAATAGGATCTATCTTGTCAGGCGTCGGATATTTGTACGGAAAATGAAGATAAAGTTGCTTGACTACCTCTTTTTCCCCTATCTCGACCCAATTCCATAACCATCTCTAGACCTCATATCACTGTTCCATCATTTGCCAGCTTTGCTTTGACAAAGCCGCAGCCTAGCGGCACGTCGCCGACACAGTTGAAGCATAATATCGACATCTTTGACTGGATGAGATAAGATGCTGTAGACTGTTCTAGCAGGGGTTAGGTAGCGTTACCTAGGTATGCCAGCCGGCCTCGAGCCATACAGACAGTGTAGGCTTTTTCTAGCCGTGACAATTAGAAACATCAGAAGACCCCTAAGGTAATATTAAATCTACTCTAGCTTTAGCTTCCTAATCCGAGAGAGGTTCTCAGACGAGAATCCTAGGATTAAGGCTGCCTTCATGCGAGCTCTCTAGGAAATAGACGCCAGAGGTGTTAGAGTATCTAGAAATGAACCCCCGCAGGGTTACAAAGCTTGGTTCTATTTTTGGCTTTATAGCAACTTCAACCGGGGTAGCAGATTGAGACTCCAAACAGCGCCACAAGTCAACACAGCACAGGGTAAAGCAGCAACAGCACCGGTCCACTCACGGAGAAGGAAATGGACAGCGGCCAGATTCGGGCAGTATTTTGATCTGTATTAAAACATGCGCAAGCTCGAGAATGGTGTGAAAGAATGAAGAATTGACTGCAAAATATCACAATCAAACACGATCATGGATCAGCGGAGCCAACTCTGTTGTACGGAAATCTTTATTGCTGTCCGTGTGTAATGGACCAAGGTGAACCAAGTAAGACGGCGAAATTTACTACCGTCTTGGCTCGATGAGATCGGAGACCAGGCATATTCGCGCTCCGGGCGGAGCCCGCTAATCGGAGGTTCGGCGCCGGCCAGACGGATTGATGAACTGCACTACTCGCTAGTTTACAGTCACCTAACCAATCCATGTTACACGATCATGATGTCGAAGCCTCGCGGTCTTATCCAACCCCATTAGGATGATCACGAATGTTCTACATCGTTAGCTGATGCCTGAAGTTGTATGATGTGACGCAGCTTGGTACCAGCCACAGCCCTAACGGCATACACTCTCTCATGCAAGCGAGCTTTTAGTTATAAGTCCATATCCCTTCCACTGCATGCCGTAGGGCGACTTGCATTAGTTCCTCGTTTCGCTCCTCATCAAATCTGGTACCACATCTCCGTCATACACAGAAATTGGTTGTTCAAAGTACGAAAGAGCAAAGAGATGTACGACACAGATGTCCTGATAGTAGGGGCTGGCCCAACCGGACTTGCGCTAGCATTGGAACTTGCCCTCCAAAGTGTGTCATTTAGGATCGTTGAGAGATCTGCGGCTCGGTCAGACAAGAGTCGAGCACTCGTAGTGCAACCAAGAACTCTAGAGCTGCTAAACAGACACGGCGATGCCGGGAGTCAGCTAGTATCCAAGGGGATGAAGGCCACCGGTGCAGTCATCTACGTGAACAAGAGACAGGTGGCAGACATCAACTTAACAGATTTCGGGTTCACCAGCACTGCCTTCCCCCAGCCCCTGCTTATCTCACAAGCAGAGACCGAACACTTCCTCGAAGGACGCCTTGAGGCCTATGGACACCAATCGAGAAGTCAGTGTCAGCCAAGGAAATTCATCAGGATGACGGTAGAGCGTCAGTCACTATCGAGCGAGAAGATGGCAGTCTGGAAACAATCCACGCGAAATATATTGTATGTCAGGTCAATTATGATACCAGTCATCACCAATGCTGACATGCGATGACTAGGTCGGGGCCGATGGGGCCCATAGCATTGTTCGTCACTCTTCCAGCATGAAGTTTGAAGGAGAAGCCTATCCGCAAGACTTTATTCTTGCAGATGTTCATCTGGATTGGGATGGAGTACAAGATCGCGCAGTTGCTTGTCTAGGACGCGGACTGATGATCATATTACCCCTGAAGGGCGGGCTGGTTCGGCTAGTAGCAAGTCGGGCAGGTGTAGTCGAGGAGGCAAACCCAACGCTAGAAGACTTCAAAGAATTCTTTTCGGAGATGGCCCCAGGGCAAGGCCGCCTTTATGACCCGACTTGGCTGGCACGTTTCAAGCTGCATCACCGTGGCGTCAACACTTACCGTGATGGACGACTTTTCGTGGCCGGTGATGCAGGACATGTGCACTCTCCAGCAGGCGGTCAAGGCATGAACACTGGGATTCAAGACGCTATCAACTTGGGGTGGAAGCTCGCTCGCGTTATTCGTGGGCAGGACCCAGACACATTTCTCGACACATACCATAATGAGCGATGGCCGGTTGGCCAAAGACTTCTCAGAGGCACAGATCAGATATTTTCGTTTGGAGCTTCCACCAATCGCTTCTTTATATTCATGAGGAATTTGCTCCTCCCTTGGCTCTTGCCCTGGTATACTGGTAGTGCTGAAAGACGCGCAGGCCTGTTCCTCTTCATGTCGGAGTTTGACATACACTATCGGGGGAGTGCCATCGTCGACACAGCACCAGGTTTCGATGGCCCCGTCCAGGGAGGTGACCGCGCACAGGACGGGAAGGTCCTAATAGAAGATGGCAAAGAAGTATGGCTCATGAGTCTATGTCACGGTCCTTCACACCACCTGATACTTTTCTCGGGCATTGACGCCAAGGCAGCTGATCTACACGAGCTACGAGCCGCCGAAACTAGGTTCCAGAACGTCAACCATGACGGGGCTGTTTCTTACCTGATCTCAGGTACATCTGCACGCAGTGGATCTTCTTATGTGGATCCCACTGGAAAGATGCATGGGCTCTATGGCTTTGAGCAGTCAGGCTACGTTTATGTTAGACCGGATGGATATGTCGAGCACATTGGGTTGTTAAAAGATTTTAACACCCTTCTCCAATGGCTTGCCAAGTAAGACGGGGTTTATTCCATGATTTTTTCCGTTAAACCGATAGTACAATTCGAAGCTGCAAAACATTTCTCACGCTTCCATGATCAAAAGAATGCATCCAGACCTCCCTTCTTTGCTTCTTTGTTAGCCACGGTCCTGGGCCCCTCCGACCGTAATGCCTTGATAACCCTGCCCAATCTCCTCACGCCCTCGACCATATCATCTTCTTCTTCCCACGAGTAGCATAAGCGGATGCTGTTCTCGAATTTGACGGTCTCCTCGTCGCCTTTGACCTCAAACATCTCTCCAGGTGGGACAATGAGGTTCTCGTCCTCGGACGCCCGTTCTGCGATGTCCTGCGCTGTAGGGCCGTCAGGAAATGTGATCCATACGAAATACCCGCCGTAGACTTGAACGTCTTTCACATTTGAGTCCATGACCTCGATACCGAATGGCCCCAAATGTTCGTGTATCGCGTCCATCATCAATCTGTGACGATGTTGCAGAGCTGGTCGACACGACTCTTCCAGGTGTCTGGCCAGGTCGCCACTCTTCATCATCTCGCATACTGTCATAGCTCCGAATTGACTCGGTGCGCCGCCCGACTTGGTCGATCCCGTTTGCGCCAGACCAAATGCAAAGTCGCGCGTGCCTTCTACCCAACCCGTGCGAATCCCGGGGCCGACGATCTTACTGAAAGAACCATTGCTGATGGCATGACCAAATTGCTGTCCCTCGGGGTCATGAGAACTGGGGCCCATCGCAAAGTCGATGTCCGAAAGTCGAGGCAGTATAGACGGCGGAGGTGAGGTTGCCGATGAGCGGACTTCTGAGGTGGCGATCGGCCACTGTAGGAAATCGTAGACATCGTCACAGATGACAAGAGCATTATATTTACGAGCCAGCTGCACCAGCTCTTTCCGTCGTCTAAGGCTCATTGTTTTGCCAGACGGGTTGGAGCACGTTGGCACCACATAGACGATATGCCTGTACGCTTTTCTAAACGGGTTCGGCTGCTTGTATACCGGCTTTCCCGGGTCAGAAGCCTCAAAACTCTGCAGGCCTTTCTCAAGCCACTCCAGATCGACACCTTCGTCGTCTTCCGGAACTGCCTTCAACCGGTTCTTGAAGCCAGAGTCCTCGAAGATGGGACAGGCGAGGTAGTAGCACGGGGCGATGACCCATACCGCCTGCGTGTAGACTGGCTCTGTAAAAGACTGCAAGATGCATGCCACGCTCTGGCTTGCACCGCCAGTGATGCATATGCGCTCTGCATCCGGCGTCGTGCTATAAAAGTCGCTGAGGAACTTGGCAAGCTCTTTGCGCAGCGGCTGGTATCCCGGGTCCGGACCATATTGGAGGCCCGGCACGAAGATCTCTGGATTAGATAGTGCCCTGCTGGCGGCAGTCTTTAGCAATTCTGCTGGCAGGAGATTTGGCGATGGCCATCCGCGAAGGAGATTGATCAGCTTCTTCTGACCTCCTGCGCCGCCCATGGTGGATGCGCGTTGCAACCAGTAAGAGGACGGAGTATGACAATGATGTAGGAGACCGCTCCGTTGAATTGCCCTATGCAACGGCCTGCGTATCATGAACTATTTTCAATGCCTTCAATATCTAGGGAAAGCTCGCCATTTAATGCATGCAAACAATGAGGGTGCTTGAAAGCGGAGACGACACGGCCGAATGCGCGGTGCATTTGATGAAGTTTTTCGCCCTCAATGCGGGCCTACGTCACGGAGCTTATGCCGATGTGGGCCGTCCGTCTGCTTCCGGACCCGAAACTTGGCGGCTTCAGCACATCCCTGCCACCGCCTGCACTGTCATCATGATATGCGTGGTCACAGTCTAAGCCGTGGAAGGGATAAATTTGACTTAGAACACCAAGTTACACCTGTGCACTATGTATCTCAATTCACATCAAACCGTCCTAAGATTAAGTTTCTCAATGTACGCTGAGTATTCACAGATGATATGAGGCAACCAGTTGATCGACCTTGTTGAGGGGCATGCTTTATTCACAAATTTATTGATTGGGTATCTCTAGGTCAACAGTAGTTTTACAAAGCTCGCGCATCCGTTTATCTCCAGCTTTACCACCCCCAAGTTCGGTTCGATGCTGTGAAGACCGGAGGCTTCCACTGTATGCGTTCTGACTCGATGGCTCTCTTGTTCTTCAACTTTGATTTCTCCCTTTGTTGTAGCAATCTGTCGGGTATCACCACCTTGTGTTCGCCCTTGTGATACACCTGCATCTTCAGCGCCTGTAAGGTGTGCTCCACATCCTGAGTTGTCATAGCTAGCCGCGAGGCAATTGCTTCGATACTGCATTTGTCCTCTTTCTCGTTGTACTCGACAAGCAGCTCAACAATATTCTCAGACCAATACTGACGGTAACTGAGTAGACCCAGATCAGACAGCGGTTTCTCGGGCGATCCGAGCTTCCCTTCAATCTTTGATAGCTCGTAGGAGAATTGAATGAGCAGACGACCATAGCCCTTTCTTTGGTATTGTGGGAGAGTCAGGATACAGGCAACGTTGTAGCCATCCGCGCTCTCTTTCTCCTTTGAGAAGTAGCCGACGAGATGGAAACCTTTCTCGTCTCTGGTTGTCATGACGTAGAATAGGAAAGGGTCGACATCATAGTATAGGGTTTTGTGGTCCAGGAACATCTTCGATAGCAAACACAAGTTTCGGCACCATGTGCGTTGCCTTCGTCCATCGATCTCGAAGAATGAGACATAATCGTCTCTGTAGATCTCGTTTCCGGGAGGATGCTGAAGGGTGCACTTGTGACGATGTCGCGTGAATGACTTCTGGTCGGCATAATAACTCAGGCAGAACTCGCAAATGAAGATAACGTCTTCCTCTCCAAACACCTCCGGATACGGCGAGAAATACCACGGGAAGAGGTCGTATTTGCCAAATTGTACTTTCGAGATATTTCGAATTCGCGAGACCTCCGTCGGATTCTGTGTCATGGACCCGGAGGTTCTCAGCTTCTCAATCTCCTCCTCCCGGCTAAATGACGGGGCTCGTTCTTTTTTATCATCTATGGGAGTCGCCTCATCGTCGATATCCATATCATCAGCAATGGCGCTCGGTGTGGCTACTTGACTCGGTGTGGCTTTCTCGTCGCCATCGATGCCGAGCGGAGTAGCCTTCGACGTGGGTTCGGCAGCCTCTGTAAAGGTGACTGGCGTCTGACCCTCGGACATGACAGACTGTTCTCGCTTGCCTGGGCGCTTTTGTGGCCTCTTGCCAACCTGCGTCTTCTTCCCAGGGGCGGTCGAGGCCTTCTTGGCCTTGTCCTTCGCCTTGTCCTTCTCGGGGTTGGGCCATTCTACCTCTTGGTCGAAATCTATCCGCGCAATGGGGACCCATTCGTCGAGTCGCTTGTTGAAGTTGTCGAAGTTGCAGTAGTACTGGCGACCGCTTTTCGTCTCCTTGATGCTCAAAATCTCTGCGCGGCGTGGCTGGCCTTCCTTCTCTACCCACGCGATGCACCCCACCCTGTGTCGCGCGCGTTAGCGATGCCACTTCCTCTTGTCGCAGCGAGGGATGACGGTTCTGGACTTACGCGAGTGTCTCGGGGGTCGCCTTGCCCTTCTTCCTCGGTCCATCAGGACCGACGGAGGGCTCTCCATTCAGAATACCGGGACTCATGATGAATCGGATGGCTGGGGGCGATTGATTGATGGAAAAGGGTTCGTTTTGCGTCGTCGCAAAAATGATGGTTTGCGCTTCGAAATGCTGTCTTTTTAGAGGGGCAAACGATGACTCTAGCGGCAAATCTGGCATGTGGTAGACCACCTGTTAGCGGCCTGGGTGGTTGCACTAGCCCCGTTTATTTTTCACGACCGAGAATCTTACCATTGAGCCTCACTCACTGACCACCCTCATTTTGGAGACAAAATCGCATAGCTTTTGCATCATAATATGCGCCCTCTGCCGTGAAGCCCTCCTGCTGACACAGATACTTCTGTAGCAGGTGAATGGGATCATGGCTCCGGATTTGTCTTCAAACTGGAAGAAACTGCAGGCGCAAATACAGTCAGAGTCCAGTAAGCCGCAAGGTCTGAAAAGGAAGGCAGGAGAAAATCCACCATCGATCGAGAAAAAGACAATTTCGAAGAAGCCTAGACTGCAGTCACAGGACAAGAAACCGACCGCTTTCCCCTCTAAGACTACTGGATTGAAAGGTACTCGTAAGACGCAAATGGGATCTGCTCAGTCCAAGATCGCAGATGAGCCGACCTCTGGAGTCTCGCCGTCTCTAGCCTTGTGGGCTAAGGACAATGACATATCAAGCGAGGATATCGCTGAAGCCTATGGGTTGGGGGCGAAGGACAACTCAATGCTCAGTGCGACCACAATACGGCCAAATGAAGGCCGAGCCAAGGATCTAGAGGTGGGCAAGTACATCGGCATCGACTGCGAGATGGTTGGCATAGGGGAAAAGGGTTACGAATCAGCACTTGCGCGCGTCAGCGTGGTCGACTTTCATGGCCGTCAGGTCTACGATTCATATGTGCGCCCGCAGGAACGAGTCACAGACTGGCGGACTCATGTCAGCGGCATCACTCCGAAGCTTATGGCGGTCGCAAGGGACTTTGAAGAAGTTCAAACAGAGGTGGCCGGACTCATGAAAGGCAGGATCGTTGTGGGCCATGACATCAGACACGACTTGCAAGTCCTGAAGCTGGACCACCCCAGAAAAGACGTTCGCGACACGGCCAGGTTCGCGGGCTTCAAGAAGTATGGGCATGGACCCAAGCCTGCTCTTCGAGTGCTCGCAAAAGAGATATTGGGCGTGGAGATCCAGACTGGGCAACACTCAAGTATCGAGGATGCTCGTGTTGCCATGCTTCTCTTTCGGAAATTCAAACCAGCATTCGATGTCACACATGCTAACCGCTACCCCGACCAAACTACGCAGGCCTCCAAAGGAAAGCCGAAGCTGAAGAAGACCGCCAAAAAGAATAAACGTTAAAATCTTTTGATGCATGAAGAATTTCGAAATGTCCTTCAAGCAAAGAGTGGCATGTGGCACTGACCCTGCTCACTCTCTCTGTCTCTATTCAATTATGATACCCGTTCTCATTACCAGAGTCTAATAAAAGCTCATCAAATAGGAATGCCTTCCATCAACTCCATGGCTCCTTCTCTTCCAACTGTGATGATTACATCCCCCAGAGTCTTGCTGATGAACCCGGCTTCGCAATATGTAAAATAATACTGTGATTGGGGGTCAGCTGTGAGAACTTTATTTGCTTCAGATGATGTGAGTATTCACCTCCCATTTCCGTTTGAAGACCTCGATCTCTTCATCTGTCATGCCTTGGTGTTCTCTCTTTAATGCGGGTCTGATGTGCGACTCGAAATTATCCATAAATTTCTCCCTCCATAATCTCAAAGTCTTCGTATAATGGCCGCCGATATTTTCGACTTTCTCAACGATGAGTGTACCCTTAGACTCCTTGCTAATATGATTTAACAGTTGCGTGATCGAGGGTAAATAGCCTCCCGGAAAGATGTAATGATTAATGAAGCTGGACGTTAGAGGTTAGTCGCTTGCGTCCTGTACGCGCCGTTTGTACGACTATACTTACTCCTCGGATTTAGAGTAGGCCTCATGCCTGCCTTCAGGCATTGTGATGCACTGAAACACCGCTATTCCGCCATCTTTCTTCAAAAGCCGATCCATGCAGGCGAAGTACGTACTCAAGTACTCTTGGCCAACTGCTTCCAACATCTCAATGGAGACAATTTTGTCGTATGGCCTCTCCGGCACAGGCAACTCTCGATAGTCCGTCAGCCGAACCTCTATTCGATCCGAGAACCCAGCAGCCGCTATCCTCTCTTCAGCCAAAATCTTCTGTTCTTTCGAGAGCGTCAGACTTGTCACGCGACACCCCGTCTTGCGCACCGCTTCGATGGCGAAGGAGCCCCAGCCAGTCCCGATTTCCAATACATGGTCTGTCTCTTTTATTCGAGCGCCGTCTATAAATCGATGCAATTTCGTCATTTGTGCTTCTTGGAGGGTCTCTTCCTTCTCGTCTCTATCAGTGATCTGTTTCCATATCGGGCAGGAATAAGTCATGTCGTCGGAGAGGAATGCTGCAAACATGTCATTGCTGATATCATAATGCGCCGAGATGTTCAAGAGCGCATTCGACAAGGTGTTGGTCGACCGCGCGAGGGCGGTGATGGCACTGGAGAAGGTGGACAGCCAAGTAGTCCCGTTGCCCATCTGATCCCGATTGGCAATGAAAAGCTGTCCCGGATATCGTCCCGTGTCAGCGGTATCGAACTCCCGAAGCCCGGGGCGGAAGGATCACACCCGGCGTCGCACAAGACGCGGGGGCGCGGCGGAGGGCGTGGTGTGGCGGGAACTCACCTGGAAGAACGCCGTCAGGTCGGCGCATTCCACCTCGCCGAGCATGTACGCCTCGGCGAAGCCCATGTCTGCGAACAGGAACAGGCGCATCCAAAATGCATCTTTCTTGACGACCAACTCTACCCTTGGAGTGGTGGTGGCTTTCCGCACACCGTTCGGCGTGAACGACAGCTCCTCGAGCTTAGCATTGCCGAGCTTCTGCCCGAAGACATGTCGCTTTCCGGCCGGCTCGTCTGTTAACAGCAGCGTTCCAATCTCAATTTGCGATAGCACGGAGATGATAGCTGGCTTGGCCACGGACAACGCTGGCCGCCATGTGAGGCTACCCAATGTCTCGCGCGCGATCTCTGTACCGCGAGACAACGGCCGCGTGACGACACCTGGGAGAGCTGGCATGGTGTTTGCGACCTTTCGTTCTGAAAGACCCGTGTGAATAAATGGCAATTGGCAAGATGTGGAATATTGGAGCACTTTGTATAAGGTGACGTCGTCGGGATCTTTGAGTTCACTCGGTATCCAGGCACATGGGGTTTGACAGCTTGGCCTGTTGTTTCGACTGAAAAGCAAACGTCACGGTACAGCCAAGACGTTGAAAAGGAGGGAAAGAAATAAACCGAGAGCCTTTCCTTGCCTGTAACAGGGAATTATGGCGTAGAAGACGCAGACGGAGCCTCGGAGCTGCCATACTGAGCGGTAGGCTAATGGCAGGGCCCGTGTGAAGGTCATGTCTCATAGACATCATCAGTGCGTCCCTGACGCCTGCATTCTGGCTGTTACTCGACTCGGGATAGCACATGGACGTTTGTCTGAGGAGCCGGCCGAGTTTAGTGGATTCATGACTTGCGAGGAGGCAGGGGGCTTGAAGACGGGAAGCCTAGCGGCCGCTGCAATTGTCTCGAACTCCAGTCCCGGCAAAGGACATCGATTCGAGCCTCCGGCAAATGCATGCAACCTGAATACGGACCATCTTGATTAATGCAAGAGTATACCAGGACTGGCATCTACGATTTATAGACTACTATCCTACGTTATGAAGAAGGCAAAGTACTTTGTTTCCTTCTTCACCGAATATAAGAAAATACTTTTGTTACTGTAATGCTACATGCTTAGTCTTTAGCTGGACCCCTCAAGCTTCGATCGAGGCGAAGAGTGGGGTGTGCAGTGTGATCGATGTTAGTGAGGGGAATGCCTCTTACTGCACTGTGGAGTTCGGACTTTGCTCCTCAAGATGTGCGGTATGGAACGTCTCGGTTGGCATCTGAATCTCAAGTGGACAATCGCTGCCACTATCGGTGCAATACCTGCGCTTGGCGTTTAGTTATCAAAGTGTCATTGACTTTTCGACTTCAGAATGCTGTGCCACTCGACAGCAGCAAGCAAATCCAGGCCGTCGGTTAACTTTACCTCGAGGTGTAAGCACCTTAATTATTTTGTCCTACACGAACGGTTTACTTGGAATCTCTTGGGGCACTCGCCTGCCGAAGCACACGTCTGTCGATCAGATCAGACTTCCGAAACAATTGCGAACTTGCCTGCCAGAACAAATTATCTAGTGGACACTACTGAAGTGCATGGGACGGTCTCCGTCCAGCGGGTCCGAAGTCGCATGGGCTTGTATGTATGTCTGAGCGACCCCAGAAGCGTCACCACCTGCAATGCAACCGGCACGCGACACGGAATATATGCTCTGCGGCCTCTGCTTCACCGCTTCTTTTCATTCTCTTCTTTTCGTGATTTATTATAGTCGGCCGATTGTCGATCGCATCACTGCAGAGGTAGGTATCTCAATCCTTCAATTGGCCTGACAGAAGGATGGTATTGGAACGTGTTGGTAGCGGAGTAGCCTCAAAATATCCATGACATCAACACTAAGCTTCTCGGAGCTTTGACGATTCCGTAGGCGGCTCTGTTTCAGCCAGCGCAAAGCCGATGTCCCAGGTCCCAGGTCCCACGTTTCTCGTGCCGACGAATCAACCAACCAATGCTGGAATGATATGAAGATGAAAAGGACATAGTACTATCTCGTCTCCCTGTCCTCTACAGCAGGTGTATTGTATTTCCAATTGAATGGATTTTCTGTACATGGCTTGATGCGCTCTAAGCATTTGATATCAATGATCTAACTGGGTGCTTTGGCTAGAACCATTTCTATACTAATGCGTATCCCGTTGGTCTCTGTAATGAAATAAAACGTGGGAACAATCTGTAGAAAACCTAATTTCAAAGGAGAGTCCGCAATGGCATTTTATCATGACATCTGATTCTGATGGCGAGAGGCTGGCTCGCCTGGGTGTGGTTGATAAGGAGTCTTATCGGAGCGCCGCTAGGGGTCCCGGAGTCCCCGCGTGGCACTAAACGCGTCAACGCCAGGGTCGTGTATCACTCGCTGACTTGACCATAGCAGCAAGAAAATAGCATTCGAGAAAGCAAAATCAAGATATCAATTGAACCCGACCATTGAGATCATTGTTCTCGAATAAGTCATGGAGCAACCAATACTGTCAATCATCTCGAAGGGCGACAACTCGCAGAAGACCACTCCGCATCTCTTACCGTGTCGCATCCATCACAGTGGCCCGGTCGAGCCCATACAGACATACTGGGCACCACAGGAGCAAGGTAGGCACGGTTTATGGCTCGATGTCGCGAGAAATGGCTAATTGTAGGCAGACGGACAGAAGACTGCGTATTTCAGAGGCCGCAAACTCCATGGCAAGACGGTCAGATTGCCCGAGGGCTACCGTGGAGTAGTGATGGAGAGGAAAGAGCCCGCAGAGCCAAATGCTGCCAGGCCAGAGGAGCCCGAAGTCATCGACGTCGATGCAGCTGAAGAGCCGGATATGGGATCGCTGGAGACCAAGGCCGAATTCGACGAGCTGGTTGTATGGGGGCACGAGGCTACGGCGGATGCGAGCGCGGATCCGTACGTGAGAAGCGTGGAGGAGTGGTTGACGGTAGCCGAACAGGTAAAATTCTATCAATATCACGAAATGGGAGTGCTGGCTGACATCTCTACAGATACATTCATACGTAGCAGCGGATGTCATCACGATAGATTGAAATGGGAGACATTACTGTCAATAAATGGCGCATGGTGGATGGCGGAATGAGACGAATATACCACGTACCACGTATGCAGTCATAAGATTTGAATCAAGAACCACCTCAAACACAATTGTGAAGCTATTCGCACTTCTCGCTGTCTTTGATAACCAGGTCGGTATTTCCAGACTTGAATGCCAACCCAGGTACTCGTTTGGCGGAGGACGCGTGATGATTGGCTGTATGCAAGCACTTAAACAGACTGCCGTGGGGGGCTTAGCGCAGTCTGCAATCAATTAAACCACCGTCGCGAAAATACGCGTCAAGGGCGCGTCTCGCCCCCCCTTGAATGCTGCCCTCCACTTAGCAACACAGACCCTAATTGCATTGCGCCCTGAATCTGAGTCCTTGACCCAGAACACCTCCCCAAAACCCAGCTGCGACACATTCCCATTGCATCCCTCATTTTGCGAGCGACAGACTACACAGAAAGTCAACTTCAAAATGGCGGCAGCAGTGGCTTCAAGCGACGCAGGCTTCATGATGTCCGACGGCCTCGCCAGGACTCCTAGGCAGAGGTCCTTCCCTCCGAGCTCGTCGACAGGGCGGCCCCGCGCCCCTCCCTCAGAGAGCATGGGAGCCCCGAGTGACGATGAAGGAGAGGGCTTCGCAGACGACCAGATCCCGAACAAGGCAAGGCCGAATGACCCTACCAATATCCCGCGGGTCGAGGACCGTGTCGGTCTGGCGATTCAGGAACATTTCGAAAACTTCATCGAGGGGTAAGGCAACAGACGAGAACCCTGCTGACGAGTCTGGCCTGTCCATTGACTGACAATGACTCTACCACAGATTCATTGAGGATCCTACTTCTTCAGGCGCTCCCACATCCAGCGCCGTTACCACAGACAAGTACTACGTTGCTCAGATCCATGGGATGCGAACATACCAGCTGTCGACCTTTTATGTCGACTACAAGCACCTCGCGTCATGGCACAATGGCGGCCTGGCAGATGGTATCACACAGAACTACTACCGATTCCTACCCTTTTTGACCTCCGGCCTCCACAACATGATCGCCAAGTACGAGCCACAGTACTTCCGCGAACATCGCCAGCCCACCGCCTCTAGCAACCAGACCAACTCCAGCGCCAGTAATGCTGGGACAGCGAGCCAGTCTGAGATGAGCAGCAAGACCAGCAATCAACAGACGGATAAGCTGTTCTCCGTCGCCATCTACAACCTCCCGCTCGTCTCGCGTGTTCGTGCGTTGCGCGCCGGCAACATTGGCCAGCTACTCTCCATCTCTGGTACGGTCACCCGAACCTCCGAGGTGCGGCCTGAACTGTCCCTTGCAACATTCGTGTGCGAGGCCTGCCGCAACGTCGTTCCCAATGTCGAGCAGACTTTCCGCTACACGGAACCCACACAATGTCCCAACAATACTTGCAATAACCGCATTGCATGGCAACTCGATATTCGCCAGAGCACGTTCGTCGACTGGCAAAAGGTGCGCATCCAGGAGAACAGTTCAGAGATTCCTACCGGTAGCATGCCGCGGACCATGGACGTCATTCTCCGTGGTGAGATTGTCGACCGCGCCAAGGCAGGTGAGAAGTGCATCTTCACTGGTGCTCTGATCGTCGTCCCAGATGTCAGTCAGCTCGGCCTCCCAGGCAAGTCAGTCACTGCAATCAGAGATGACAGGAATGCACCGCGTGGCGGTGATGCTGGTGGTACTGGTGTGTCCGGACTGAAGGCTCTGGGTGCCAGGGATCTTACCTACCGTCTGGCCTTCCTGGCCTGCATGGTCACCCCTGACACAACCAACCTGGGTGGGGGTGTATCTGATATCATCTCTTCACTCACCCAGGCGGCGACCCTGGACTCTACCGAGTCCGCTCAAGAGGCCCAGGAGGCAGTTCTTGCATCATTCGGCCCCTCTGAGATTGACGACCTGCGTCAAATGGTCCACAGCGATCGTATCTACTCAAGACTAGTGAACTCACTCGCGCCCACAGTATACGGCCACGAGATTGTCAAGAAGGGTCTCCTCCTACAACTCATGTCCGGTGTTCACAAATCCACAGCTGAGGGCATGCAACTTCGTGGCGACATCAACATCTGCATCGTTGGCGATCCGTCAACATCTAAGTCCCAATTCCTGAAATATGTCTGCTCCTTCGCCCCTCGCTCAGTCTACACCAGTGGCAAGGCATCTTCTGCTGCCGGTCTTACAGCTGCCGTTGTCAAGGACGAGGAAACAGGCGAGTTCACCATCGAGGCTGGAGCCCTAATGCTTGCGGACAATGGTATTTGCGCCATTGACGAGTTCGACAAGATGGACATTGCCGACCAGGTAGCTATCCACGAAGCTATGGAACAGCAGACAATCAGCATCGCCAAGGCCGGTATCCAAGCGACTCTGAACGCCCGCACGTCCATCCTAGCAGCCGCCAACCCAGTTGGAGGCCGGTACAACCGCAAGACGACACTACGTGCCAACATCAACATGAGCGCACCCATCATGTCTCGTTTCGACCTGTTCTTCGTCGTTCTTGACGAGTGCAACGAGCAGGTCGACCGCCATCTGGCCGAGCACATCGTCGGCCTCCACCAGCTGCGCGACGCCGCCATCGAGCCAGAGTTCAGCACCGAGCAGCTGCAGCGGTACATCCGGTTCGCACGCACCTTCCGGCCCGAGTTCACCGACGAGGCCAAGGAGGTGCTGGTCGAGAAGTACCGCGAGCTGCGCAACGACGACTCGCAGGGCGGCGTGGGCAAGAACAGCTACCGCATCACGGTGCGCCAGCTCGAGAGCATGATCCGCCTGTCCGAGGCGATCGCCAAGGCCAACTGCGTCGAGGAGATCAGCCCGGACATGGTCATCGAGGCGTCCAACCTCCTCCGCCAGAGCATCATCTCCGTCGAGCACGACGACGTCGAGATGGACGAGGAGGACGACATCTCGCCCGAGGACAGCGAGGCGCTCCGCCGTGCGGCTGACGAGGCTTCTGGCGCTGCGGCTAATAACGACGGCGACTCGCCGATGGCCGAGGAGCAGGATGACGAGGCGCAGGAGGGCGAGCAGGTGCGCGAGAAGCGGAAGCAGACTATCTCGTACGAGAAGTACATCGCCATGGTGAACTCGTTTGTGCAGAGAGTCGCGGACGACGAGGCTGGCAGCGGCGAGGGCGTTGACGGTGAGGCGCTGACTCAGTGGTACCTTGAGCAGAAGGAGGACGAGCTCCAAGGCGAGGAGGACTACCACCACGAGCTTGCGCTTGCGAAAATGGTTCTCAAGAAGATGGTCAAGGTAAGAATAAGACGTCACACCTACTACATTGTCCACATAACTAACGCGCTACTTCCCAGGACAACATTCTCATGGCAATCCGTGGCCAAGGCATGGCTGGTGACGACGATGCTGCAGACAGTTCCGCCGCACAGGCAGACAACATTGTCTATGTGCTGCACCCCAATTGTGCGATTGAGGAGTTCTAAACCATTAAACGTAGGGCATATGTAGGATTGTTGTATCGGGCTGGATCGGAACATCGTGTTTGAGCAGTGTTTACGTCAGTGAACTGGAGTTGGGAGTTCATTACGATGTCAAGTGGAGGCTGGCCATGTTAAAGATTAATGAAACGAAACAGGAAAGGAAGCAATTATGCTGTATACCTAATATGGCATTAGAAGATTCTTGACCTAGCGAGGGTTTGGGATCCTCCACGGAACTAAGTGTAGTGTCAGAAAATCGATCATATCACAACCATCATCTCAAGCTATCAACCGCGCTTATAAACTTCATTCTGTCATGACTTAGACCTTAGTCTGTATTCACTTGAAACGCAGCCTTTTGGATTGAATGTGAGTTAGCATCAACTGTGAAGCTAGAGGGAAAGGTATCGAGCGGCAAGCCTAGCGAATTTGGTCGGAAACGAGGCTGAAGTACGCTCACTTATGTCTCATGGACGACCCAACGCAGACAGGCTGGGTTGCAAAGCCTCTTAGTTTGCCAGTTTTCCGAATTGCAATGGCGAGGTTTGATCCTTCTATTGCAATCAATTGTGATGAGCTGTACTAAAAGCTGAGTATTAGGTTCGGGAGTGAAACGCTCCAGGTTGACCTTGGAGCAGGATCGTACATATCCATGAAGCACTTGGGATACAAACCCGACCATAATTTTCATTGGTGAGAGTACAAGCAGATCGACACAAGGACGAGCGTGCATCCTGTGGCATCTTCTACTACATGTACAGCGAGCACAGGCCTGTCATATCGAGATATTGACCAAGAGCTCGCTGAGGATCCTATGGACACGCTACAGCCTCGTCTCAACTCGCAACACCTGCATTTAACTAATTTCAGCCCAATTACGGGTTTCAATATTGTTTATCACGCCACATTCACAATGATGCATCATTGACTGCCTAACGACAACGCGTTAGCCGGGATTGCCATGTTTGGTAGAGCTGAACGGGTGGCTTGAGGGGTGAGGCGTTAAGATAAATAAGAAAACCTCCCATCCAGCGTTTCCATAAACCTGTCGCGCTCCACTCAATGAAGACACCCTAAAGCGACGAGCAAGATGAGGCCGTTCTTACGGTATGTCCTTAGGTATCTTGCTGTCCATGTATTATATTTCATCGTCTCATCGGCTGCCCAAGTACGTTCTCAAACTCTAGGATTTCTAGAGTGACTTTCTCCTCAACATGAAGTTATCTCAGCTGGGTCAATTTTTGACACGACCTGGGGTACACCCTCTAATTATGGCGTTACTTTGACGATCGCTCTTCTGAGAGGTGCAACAGAAAATATACTCCCATCAATCCAAACGCTCACAGGTGAGTCCACAATATAATTACTTAAGTAGGTAGCTTGTCGTCAGTCACTTCTGATATTCTTTGAAAATAGAAGGTGTAGATATCTCGGGTGGCAGTTACGCCTGTCTAGTGGACAAATCTCTTGCTCTCGACCTGGTCTACCAGCTGCGGATCAGCCTTGACTCTGATCCCAATGTATCCCATCATTCGTCTCCACTCCATATCAAAGGCCTTCTAGACGATGGGGCTGAAATCTCGTACACAGTACACCATCGAGAAATAATGCAAGAGCAGTAGCTTCCACTTCTCTTTCAATAGCGCCAAGACCAATTTCTGCTGAGGAGACGGCCTCGGACCATCGACCGAGTTCTGCCGTGATCCCTGTGGCGATAAGGCCGCGGTCACTTTCGATATGGTCATTGACATCTCACTACAGCCTGTCATTGCCGTCGACGTCTATAACACCATCACCATCCTCTTCACAATCATCCTCCTCATCTTCTTCACGCGCATCCTCCTCGTCGTCCTCGTCGTCGTCCTTGCCGTCATCTTCATCCACCCCTATTTCATCCTCAGCGACCAACAACCATGGAGAACTGTCAAAAGGGGCTAAAGCAGGAATTGGCGCCGGCGTCGCTGTCGCCGCTATCTTGCTTCTCGCTTCGGCCACACTATTATGGCGCCGGCGCCGACGGAGAGATCGCAATGCCACTGATGCCGGCACTTCATCTCAGCCTCATAATGGCGTCCCAGAGCTCGACACTGCGGCTAACAAGCACGAATTGGATCTCACAACTTCCGCTTCGCCACCTTCCGACGATAAGACCTCCTTCTACCGACCACCGGTTACGAATGATCAGTCTCGCGCCGAGCTTTCTGCAGAACAAGTAGTCCATGCTCCTGTTGAACTGCCCGGTGACAACAGCTATGCTCAGAGAGGGCCTGAGAAGATAGATCCGTACTTCGTGCAACCGACGCCTCAACTTGAAAGAGAAATGGCAGTGGATGTGGACAAGGCTCCTACAAGGGATGAAAACCCTAGCCTGAGGAGCACCGCAATTCAGGGCAGTGAAATACAGAGACTGGAGAGGGAACAAGCACGGTTAGATGAGGAGATCGCAGAGAGGGAGAGGATTAGCCAACTGAGGTTAGAAAGGGAAGAAATACGGAGAAGGCTGGAGGAAGCCAAAGCTCTGGCTAAGAAGGGTGAAGTTGTGTAATTACCCATCTCCTTTATAAGCCCTTGGAAGTCGTCAGGAAGTCGTGAGCCCTGTACTGTCACCTCGAAACTTGGGAATTCTCGGCAAGTTTCTTGAATGATATCAATCATTTTTTGATATTTTGACATCGAGAGGTTGATGGTCAGTTTAGTCACGATGATATGGAAGCGACGGCAGATCAGGAATTAGCTGTATTTCTGACTGTGTGAACTACTAAACACAAGTACGGTTGGCAACTCTCCGACTCAGCAATCGTGTATCCGAGTCTGCTGCTGCTATGAGGCTCCAGCACATGGGGCTAGTTGCCATTAATGCAATGCCTGCAACACAATAGGTCCGATGCCCGCCCTCAACAGAGCAGGCAACCTAAGTCGTTGTTCCGTTTCTCAATTCCATGCCCATGTCTTCACTCGCACATAAAGCTGCTGGCTCTGGCGAACGGAGCCATTCCCTCAGAGATTGCAAAAGACACAGGTGGTCTCATAAAAGCTAGCCATTTCCGCTCAAGCTTGAAATAGCGTGACGGAGCTACCTTTTCCAATCCCTTCCCCTTTTTCCGTTGTCCTACGTGCCACAGTGGCCACGATGGTCTCTCGTACATGGCCAGCAATACGACTGACCACATCGCAGCCGTAAGACAGTGACCCGTAAGAATAATGTCGCTGAAAGTTTACCGAAATCGTACACAGCTGTCTGTTCAACTGGGATTATCCCCAATCTGGCCAGACAGTCTTGAGCCAAGGTCTAACGCACATAGTATGCGCGTGAACCTATCCTATACAAAGAATTCTCACAGAGGTAGAGTTATTTGGAAGAAAAGCGAAAACGGCGAGATGATGAAGCCATCCTCAACTGTCAATGACACTCGGCATCGTCTCATCGGAGACAAACAAGTCCATGGCAAATTAGGTTTGAACGGTAGCCGAGGGTTGTCGAGACCAGTTGTCCGATCGACTACCCCGGTAACCTCCCCGTCCACCGCCGCGGCTCCCAGAGGGCGAACCGTTTCCTGGCGACGATGTGAAATCAGGAGAGAAGGACGATGAGGCCTCTCTCTTTCCTCCTCGCTGACCGGACGCGTAACGCGAACCACCGCGACCCCGTCGTGGATTGCTGCGGCTTCTCGTTGAAGGACCAAGAACTTTCTTCTCATCAGACATTCCGGGGAGATAAATGCGAAGCGACTGGTCCGGAATGAAGAAGACTGATTCAGCACTGGTAGGAGCAGTGAGCATGAATTTCCTCGGTGCAGGCTTCGGCGTCAAAGCTGGGTGCCAAGCTAACTCTGAGACAGTGTTTGGAATGCGAACAGGCGGTAAAGACCCCATCTCCTGTTCCTCGAAGCAGTCTTCATCCATGACCTTGGTCGTCAAGGATGAGTCATCCGCGCCGGCAGCCCGACCCGTAGATGCTGGTAACGAGACTGTTGCTGAAGAATGTGAGACGGATGAATGCAAGACATTCCTGCTAGAAGAATCAACGGGCATTGGAGGCTTCGTTGGAGAAGGCTTGCGACCAGCGAGTAGGTCATGAATACGTTCCTGCCAATTCTCGCCCATCGGTCGTAGAGTAGAGCCACCAGAGCTGATACCATGAGATATCGGGGCCGGTCTGTGGGGGTGTGCATGCGACGCGCTTGTGTCCCTGAAAGGCGCAGGAGTCGCCCAATTTAGCGAAGGGTGAGACCTTGGAGAGGCCGTGGCTGCGGCTGGAGTTGGAGGAAGACGGACAACAGGTCGCGTGGGAGGTAATGCGACATGTGGGTGAGTAGCATCGCCATCAAACGCAGGATGTCCGACCATATCAGGCGGAGGTGGTGAAGGAGACTCAGATCGGCCAGTCTCAGGAGGAGCACTCTCCTCTAGACGAACGTCGCGAGACGGGAAGAATCGAGAGCCACGCGGCTGGGGCGTAGAGTTAGACGATGGAGCTTGAGCACCAGCTGTAGGCGGCCGCTGAATAGCATCATGTTGAGGGACATCTTTCTGTCCGACGCTCCAGGATGGGGCAGTGGCTTGACTACGAATAGCTCTGCTCGACGCAGTCTTTTCGATCCGTTGTCCCTTTTCATCTACATTTGTCGGTCTCCAGTTATCGGTGATCTTGCCTTGTACATCGGCATATGAAGCCCCACGAGCTTGCAGCTCTCGCTCCTGCTCTGCCATTTGTTGGCGTCGCTCGGTCGCTAGGATATTGTCATTTTCTTGCACCGCGGTCGCCCACGCACTAGCTCTGAGTCCCTGATCAGTGCTTACTGCACGCGTCGAGGTTGAATATCTAGAGCTTGACTGGGGAGGGCCAATTGGTGCCAAGCGGGACGAGGAAGTCTCGGGTTTATTACCCAATTTGCCTGCCCCAGGTGGCCCGATAGGACCGGGTGCTGAGATGGGAGCTGCCATCTGAGGCAGTTGTGACGAAGCAGCGTCAGGTGCGCGACCTAGGTCGGAAACGAAAGTACCATTACCGAGGCTCCGGTCGTTATTGGGTGAACCCCAGACGTTTCTGGATGATGCTTGGTTGCCAGGGCCCCAGCCACTTCCTAGGCGGTCGGGCTGACTCGATAATCTAGGCTGCCAAGTGGTGCCGTGTTTATTATCTGATGCTGTCTGGTCCGATTTTCCTGGTGCGGGTTGCGTAGGCACCTGACTGAGGGGTCGTGTGCCGTTTGGAAGGTTGTTGGATCGCACATCAGCGTCAGGTTGAGGGTTGCCAGCCAGGCGTGTTGATTTGGGTTCTGGCTGAGCTGGTGTCTGAGAGTCAGACACGACTTCGCGAGACTGGATTTGAGGTGTTGACGCGGTTTCCTTTGTCACATCTTTCTTCGCGCTCTTGCTCTCAGGCGGTGGACCGAGCGCCTCTAACTTCAGACGAATTCTCTCTTTTCTCTCGGCCTCTTCCTTTGCCTCGGCCTCAAGTCTTCGTTTCATTGCCATTTCGCGACGTTCCCTCATTAGCTTCTTCTGGTATTCATAATCGTCCTCACCTGGCACACCCGAGGGGGCACCCGGCGCACCTTGTTCTCCAGTCGCAAGATGTGCTTCGGTTGACCCCGGACTGTAATGGAGTGTCGCATTTGTAATAGCTGGCGATACTCGGGTCTGCCACTGTTGCTGTCTGGGGCCACCTTGTAGGCCAGACGGGGAGAAATTGCGAGGAGATGCCGAGGTTTCGCTCCCACCAATTGAGCCTCTCCTAGCATTGAGTAGTTCAGGGGGTGGTAAGGACTGATCGTGTGGTTTCCCCAAGCGCTGTAGATAGCTGCCACTCCCTCCGCTAACATTAGATGAGCCACGTCGGCGACCATGACCGTACTGTCCACTGCTATGAGTCGTTTGGAATGCAGGAGACGGTTCGGCAGGACCAGCGTTGTCTGCTTGGGTGGACCGTTGCAGCAGTGCAGGCTGACGGGAGTGCGCATCGCCTCGAGTTGAACCACGGCGGTCCGTTACCGGCTCATATCTGCCAGACTGAGAGTTGAATAGCTCCCGATTGGCATGTGTAGGGCCTTCCCTCCAGCCAGATCTGCTAAAGTCATCGGCGGCAATTTCTTTAGCCTGAGGCGGCGGCGTCGAACCCTTTGGCACATGAGAGTGGCTGGGTGGAGGGTACCTTGACATTTGGTGGGTTGCTATGTCCATGACAACAGGGGACGCTTTATCAACGGGAGGGAGTGCTGCCCATGGTGACTTGACAGGAGTAGGAGGGGCTGGAGGCTTGGCTACCAGGGTCGGCTTTTCCGGTGCACCTTTGAGAATCAATCCTTTGCCGGATGCAAGAACTCCAGTCTTTATAGAGGGAGATCCGGTAGGTGGAGCAGGAGATCTCGGTTTCTCCAGAATCTTGTTCTCCTTAGCAACCAGAGGGGCTGAGACTTCGGGGACAGGTGCAGGAATGGGCGCAGGTGGCGTTACGTGCTCTTCGACATGTGGGATAGTTACTTTCGTGCCGTCAGTCCATGTGATCGTCTCGGGAGCCCAATCCTCATCGTCGTCATCAATATCAGCCCAGTTTGCCTGTCCTTTTGAATCGTCTGTGTGCAGGCGAGTTGCCATATGAATGCCGTATTTCTTAAGCTCCTCGTCCGTCATCTTCTTAGGCTCAGGAACTGGTACCGCTGTTCGGAGGTGTTAGCTATCAATGGAATTTCTCCAGCACTCAAGAAAGTGCGGCATGGCTTACGTCTATTCTTGTTCCAGACGGCAGCTGCGTCTGGGACACCGCCCGGCTTTCCATTTGTCCCTGGCTTTGGAACATCCCGCAAACCGCTTCCAGTTTTTGCTACGAGCCTCGGTCGTGCAGAGCCGGATGCTGTGCTTGACTGGCTGGCCGCAGAACTCGTGGTCGGGACGACTTTGTCGCCGATCTTGGCCGGGGCATTGCTCGTCGCACCCTTGGCCGCTAGGAAGGTCTTGTTTACCGAAACGGACTTGAAGGATGTGGGCTTCTTGACAGTCGAAGATGTTCTGGCATGTCCCTTGTCGTCATCTTTGGACTTTGATGTGTCGCCCCTGGAAGCTTCTGTATCGGATCCTCCGCTAGTGCTAACCTCGGCCGAGTTCACCAGATCGTCAACAATGTCAGAAATCAGCTTATTTTCAATTTCATCGGCGGTAGACGGTGCGCCGTTTAGTTGAGGCTGGTCGGCATCGCCATGTTGTGCGTCGGAATCGATCTTGATCGCCTGGTGCATCGTGGTCGCTGTGGTCAGCCACGTACGCGTATAAAATTTGCGAAGAAGCAAGGGTATGAAAATGGGGCAGACAGCCAACTTACAGGCTCGGCGGAGGTGACAGTAGCTTCAGAGGACCTGTCCACTGTGGGTTCCGTGGCCATCATCCAGTTGTCGTGGTGATTCTGGTGGTGGGTTGCTGATGACTGTCGTCGCGGGTTGCTCGAGTCACCTAGGCCACCTAAATGAAGTAGGGTAGCCGTCGCAAAGGTCGCTTGGCTTCTGAAGGAGAATTGCCGCCCGCTTTGCGAGGGGAATCGGTCGGTCGCGCAGGGGAGGTGCAGCCACGAGGAAAGAAATGGATGCACTCCTATTTAAGGAGAGGACGTGATGATGGAGCTTACCGTCCAGGAGAAATGAGGGTAGAGGATAACGTGGTGAGAGATGGAAGTGAGTTCGCCTTGTGGCTGGTTGGTAGTCCCTTCTTGCCCAGGTTGACTGAGCTGGGGAGTAAAGGTTGGCGCTAGGACCAAAACAGTCTAGTCCTGCCTCGTGGTGCCGCAACGGGAAAAGGCGAGGTACCAAATCTTACCAATGCAGAGGATCAAAGATCAGTATGAATTTAATTGTCCAGCTACAAGTCCAGATCAGCCATACCAATAAGTTGATGCTGCAACCAAATACATCGGCCTAGTTCAACCAAAAGCCGGCGCTGTTGTTCCTTCCTGATATAATGCAGGTCTCATATCATGTGATCCTTGTTGCTGTTCGAGCCCATTTCTGGTCATAGAGTGGCTGCCTTTCTCCGACGAAAAGCAGCACCACTTATACGAAGTGATAAATTACAAGAACATCCTTTGAGCACGAGCACGTGTGTACAAAGGGTTTCTGGTCAGCATTATGAACTACATCTTTCTAATCAATGTGACTCAAATGTTCCCTCAATGACTACAATGACAGCTCTGTTTAGATTGACCAGATTGACCAAGATGTACAGGATATCCTGTTACCGAGAACGGACTGTGAAGACACATATTCTGGCAAAGAAACATTCACACTCATTATAGACAAACAGTATGAGTCATATTTAGCAGCTGTTATCATCAGAATCACAAAGGAAAGCCCCAGATTGTGCCAATGATCTTTTAACTTCCTCTAAAGCGCTTTATGTACACATCTTGATATCTGTACAGATGCTCCTCCCAAATCTTGACCTTCCCTTAGTGGGCATTGTTCTTGTGGTGACCTGAGTAACGGTTAGCAAGTTACTCGCCGTCAATCCTTAACAATACTCACGGAGGTGGAAGTAGTAGTTCTGGGCATATCCAACAATCAGGAGGAAGACGATGGCGTGGACGATGGCTGGAAATTAAGAGTCAATACGGCAATACACTGATGATCAAATTCGAGTATAAATCCTCGACAGCGATAGACGTACGCTTAGCAGTCGGGTTCTTGCCGAAGTGCTTGGCCTGGTACTTGCCGAAGAAGCCCTTTGCCTGGACCTCCGGGGCCGGTCCTCGAGGAAGCTTCTCGTAGAAGTTGACAACACGCTGCATGCGGATGGCATCGGGAGCAGCGCCGATAGCCTATTTTGATGATCAGCCCGTGTGTTTCCACATTGTCCATGCGCTTTCCGCCCATCCGAGATGCGTCTGCTATGGCGACATTTCCCCTCTCGCAGCATCTCCAATGTTCCTTCACGTGGCGGGATGCGGCTTGTAGTTTCGATTATAACGTACCTTCGGCGAAGCAACCTGTTTCGAATACCATTAGCCATGTGTGTCGCGGTTATTCAATTGATGATGGCCTACCTTGGGGGGAATGAGCGTGGAGAGCGCCCGGCGAGTCACGTAGCTCATTGTGGGGGATGATCGGTGCGCTCGGAACCTAAGGAAGATGAGAAGAAGAGCAGTCAATTAGGCCGATGCGGTGTCGACTCAATTGGGCGGTCCTTGCGTTGCGGTCGTGGAGGGGATTCAAAGGAGGATTGACGATGGAGGTTTGGTCAAATGCGAAGCAGAGCTCTTTCTCGGTAAGAGCAAGAACGTTGTTGCGCGGTTTATCCCGACAGCCAATCAGCGTCGACCTAAACAGTCCCACTCAGCATTGAACGTCAACCACCAAACTCGAGCTAGGACACATCAATCAATCTCTACAGCTTGCGACATTGACCTTAGCCGGCCAATTCACGATGGCATCACTCAGGACGGCGTCAGCAGCTCGCCTACTGCGGGCTGCATCTCACACTCGGCCAATTGCTGCGAGGCGGTTCGAGACCACCCTCTCCGCCACACAAGCGAGGCCCCCCGTCAACGAGCCTACCCTCCCAGAGTCCTCTCACAATCAGCCTGACTACGAAGCACAGATCGACAAGGCTACCTCGTATGCGACACCCTCCTGTAGTGTTTGAGGAGATAGTAAACTGATGTCGTCGCAGAACATTCACGCCCGTCCCCAAGCGTGTCCTCAACGGCAGCGAGGAAGGCCCTTCACTACCTGCTGCTGTCCTCTCCGGCGCCCCGATGGAGCTGCAAGGAAGGACTGTTCGTATCTACAAGCCGGCGAAGCCTGCCACACAATCCGGTGACTGGATCGGCAAGCGATGGAGGCTAGACTGGGACGTGCTGCCAAAAGGTCATAGGTGGGAGAACCCTCTGATGGGGTGGCAGTCATCGGGCGACTTCGTACAGGGCACACATATTCATTTCAAGACCAAGGAGGACGCTATTGCTTTCGCGGAGAAGCAGGGCTACGAGTATTTCGTACAGGAGCCGAATGAGCGCAAGTTCACACCCAAGGCTTACGCCAACAACTTCCTATATTCACCAAAGAAGTTGAAGCATATCCGGACGAAGTAGTTAGAGGACCAGCCCTTATGTACATATATTCACTTGTCTCAAGGATGCATAGACTTCAAATGCCATTGTCTGATTCAATCTCATTTGTCGTTACCTCTTTGCTAACGAGGCTTGCAATCGTCTCATTATGCTTCTTAAGATATATTTCTAGCTTTGAAGTGCTCGGGTCACATCGGTTCAATGTGATAAGTATACACGGTCACAAAACTCCGCAATCAATGATACAGCCCTGCCTACAAACATGTAATTGTCCAAAGCGCGCAAACAAGAGGTGTCGTACTAGGCGACACACTCATACTTGTACGCCGACTGGGTGATGATCAGCCAAAGCAAACAGAAACGCCGCAATGCAGGGGTCTGTCATACCCGCCAATTGATAGCACACGAATCCAAACGCCATTCCCCGCAGGGAGTACCTAGAGCGATGAAGCTCATGTTATCTAGACATCCTTTTCCACAACGCCGTCATCAGACTGATAGAAGTCGTAAGATCATTAACTCGTAATCATGGGCTCATGGCCATTCTCGTGTGAAATGCCATCAGCGTTATCAGTGCCGTGAATTCCAAGGTCAATCCGACTGGGGATGTCCTTCTTGTTGTCGCGAGCGGTCTGCTCGGCCCAAGCCCGCATCTTGACCAGATTGCGGATAGCTGCTTCGCGACGCTGGTTCTGTCGAGCTAAGATAGCCTTGTTCACGTCATCAGCTACGACACGTCGGAGGTTTGGGTTGAGCAGAGCAGCAAGCTCCGGCTTCAAATCGTTGTGAGGAAAGATGAGGAGCGACATGGTCTTTTCGAGCTGTTCCATAAAATCTGGATGGCTGGGGGCTCGAGGACCTAGCTGGTTCGTTGCGAACATCAGAGCGGGAGTGATATCGCCATCTCCGCACGAACGAATCAGCTCAACAAGCTGGAGGCGCAAAAGTGCGAAATGGAGCCGTGGATCCTGATCGAGAATCTGGATGTCTTGTTAGACGAATATTGCGGAATACAACAGGAGGAAAATCATAAAAAAATAAAGGTTGGTTGTTGCTCATGAAAATGGTGGTTGTTTATCATCACTAGCCAGAAGGCCATATGCGTGGTGCATGTAAACTCGTGTTCTAATCATAGCGAAGGGTGCAGAAAATGGATCGGTGAATCTTAGCGCATTGTGTATCTTACCTCTGGATCAAGATCATTCAACGCCTCAATAGCTTGTTTTATACCACCTCTGTGGATATGCTCCTGGATCTGCTGTCTCGCCTTAATCGAAGCGCCCTCCTGCTGGGGTTGTAGGTTGGCCTCCTTGGAGAACTTCGCTGCCGCCATCGGATATCCCTCCATAGTGAGATAGTCGAGAATGAGGGCGTTAATATCGCTGTGTGACGCTGTCAGCAAGACTGCCAAATATGCGTAGAAAACAAGGCAACAAGTAGGTAGAGAAGAGTGGCTATTTCAGAATTATACGAGATAAATTATAAGGTCCTCCGCATGAATGTCTCAGAGAGATTCCCATTGTTTATGTTGTCACATCATTTTGCCAGAAGAAAAGGGGGCCGTTGTGTGCTGGTGTTATGGAAGACAGAACGTACCTCTTCGGCGACTTCACCTCGGATACCCGTGACTCGAAGGCATGCCGCATGGGTGTGGCAGTCGAAGCAGATGACGTCTGCGATGTTCAGTTAGCCATATCACTCCAACCGGAGGCATTAAACTACATTGACAGGCAGAAGTGTTCATACCATCATGTCAAGCTTCTCTCGAAAATGAGAAGCAAGAGTCTCCCAGAAAGCGAGGTCGTTGCGGTCCAGAGCACCAATGATGATTGCTTCAGAGAGGCTAGAAGACATAAACGTAGCTGCGAGGCTTCATTTGTGAGAGGTCAGGCAGCGTCTCGGCGCAAGCAGTGATGCGCGGCGATGGTGCTGACGTCGACGGAGACAGTGAAGCTTGAAGGAGAAAGAAGCTTGCGAAGCTCAATTTTCCGTCGTGGCCATTCACGGGAAGGTGTGCCCACTTGAAAGGCTGGTTCAGCGGGGTGTGGCGGTGCTCCACCTTGTAGCCACAATGGCTTTGCCGCTTACAGAAACCTTACCACCATTCGCTAGGCGGGCATCTCTGCACCTGCATTCCTTATCATTGCTTCTATGAGATGCTCCTTGGCATCTAGCATCTAGATATATCTTTTCATGGGAGCATAGTTGGTCTAGGATATCCTGCTGATCTTCTGGTGATCCTATTTGACACACATTGACCTTTCCTCCAGCCTTGTGTACAAAGAATGGGAAGGTAGCAATTGATCTCGGCTCTGTCGATTTGGGAACTGTGATCTCACGAGACCACCTTGAACCCCTGATCCGCAGAGAGTTCCCACACACTGAGCGCAGCGAATGAAGACGTGATACGGCACACTACCAGTCTCAATTACAGCATGGAGTCTGTCGTCGCCAATAACCCTATTGCCAAGCGAGCTCACTACTCGCCCCCATGGGCAGATGTCAGCATCATCGGTATAGCTGGTAGCTCTGGATCTGGCAAATCAACCCTATCTAGGGCGATTGTCAGCAAGTTGAACCTTCCTTGGGTCGTTATTTTGTCGATTGTGAGAGACTTTCACCCATCTGACACAATGCCCTTACTGATTATCTGATAGGATTCCTTCTACAAGACTCTCGATGCCGAATCATCGAAGAAAGCATTCAGAAATGAATACGATTTTGACTCGCCAGACGTGAGTTGCCAAGTGACTCTAATTTTGGATAGTTTGTCTCACATGATATTGGCAGGCAATTGACTTTGATGTACTTGTAGACCGTCTTCGAGACCTGAAGGCAGGGTACGTTGTGCACCTCAATCATGAGCTCTCATTCCACTTCGTTACTTACAGTAGTCATCAGAAAACGCGCTGAGATACCAGTGTATTCCTTTGCAAAGCACCAGCGTACTGAGAAGACAACGACAATATACTCACCTCACGTGTTGATCCTCGAAGGAATCTTTGCACTATACGATCCCCGAGTGCTGGAGCTCATGGACATGAGGGCATGTTTTGCTGCACCTCAGGATGGTCTTTTGATTACTAACATGGTCTAGATATTCTGTGAGGCAGATGCTGATACGTGTTTATCGAGAAGAAGTACGCATGCATGTTCAGGGGCCGAGATGACAGCTAATTGTATCGGTCAGTTCTCAGAGATGTCGAATGTCGAGGACGGTCAGTCGAAGGTGTCATCAAGCAATGGTTCATGTGGGTGAAGCCAAATTTCGAGAAGGTAGGTGACCCTTATACGCTTGTGTCAAATATTCGATTAGGATTCCTGACATTCATCACAGTTCGTTGACCCACAACGTAAGGTGGCAGGTGAGTCGCCTCAACAGCTGCTACCGTGCCCTGATTCGGTGGCTTCAGTCGCCTATGGTTGCTGAACCTTGCTAGATGTCATCGTTCCGCGGGGCGTTGAGAATCTTGTCGCAATAAGTAAGCCCAGCACGCCAAACATGATCCAAGGACGACTCTAATATCTTGAAGCTATGGTGGTGCAGTTCATCGAACAGAAGCTGTTAGAAAAGTCCAAGCACCATAGAGCAGCCCTTACAAGATTAGAATTAGAGGCGCAGACAGAATCTCTGTCGGATAAAGTCGTGATCTTGGACCCGACACCGCAATTACGTGGTATGAACACGATAATACAGGACATCGATACATCAAGTGAGGACTTCATATTCTACTTCGACCGTTTAGCTGCCCTGGTCGTCGAGCAGTATGTATAGACTTGCACCACTTTGAATCACCCCCTTTCTGATTCGCCAACAGGGCTCTAAACAACGTTGTATTTCGATCTACCACTATATCCACACCTGCTGGCTATAGATACAATGGTGTTCGAGCAGCTGGGGAGGTATCAGCCGTAATCCTCCTCCGAGGCGGCGCAGCATTTGAGACCGGTCTCAGGCGGGTCATCCCCGATTGTCGATCAGGTCGTGTCCTCATCCAATCCAACATACGGACGGGGGAACCGGAACTACACTATAACGAGCTACCGAGTGATATTGCCAAGCATGAGAGCGTACTCGTTTTCGACGCGCAGATGTCCAGCGGCGGCTCCGCGCTCATGGCCGTGCAGGTGCTCGTGGACCATGGGGTGTCGCAGGATCGTATCGTCTTCGCAACCTACTCAGCAGGTCGGATGGGTCTGCATCGCCTGACGAAGGTATTCCCTGAGATTACAGTTGTCGTCTGTAACGTTGTTCAGGACATCGAAGAGCGGTGGGTAGAGAAGCGATATTTCCGGTGCTAGCCGCGTAGGTGGCGATCTCGCTTCAGAAAAGTCGATAGCTAGGACATATAATGTTGGTGCCATAGGCACTCGCCTGGATCAGAAACGATGCCGTGTAATTCGCACAATACTCGGGCTTTCCGCACTACAGTGATAAGAAATCATGCTTTCATAAATTATCTCACCAAAAATGCATCAATACCCGTTCCTCGGCGAAGAGGTCGCTTTCCAGCCGCAATTAGGATGTCAGTTCTAGAAATTTGCCCGAAAGCCATGTCGTATCCTTCTGCGGAAGCCATGCGACCACTTTGCTGCCAAGTGACTTTGCCCGAGTTCGCTGTCAAATACTTGAATCTTGGAGACCGGGTTTCCGTTGTATGTGCTGCGGAGAAAACTACCGAAGAAATGACCGTCGCGTGAGAATTTCGGGGATTTGACGTCTACTTTGACAGTCCGCAACGTAGAGGAGTCGACTATCCACAAGACAATGGTATCCATGTATCCCTCGCCACTTTGCACTGGCTGCTCAGACGACCATGCAGAAACAATAGTCTGCTCATTAGACGCAATAGCCAGGGGATATTTTGCGCCGGATTGCCAGCTATGCTTTTTGCTTGTGTAAAATGTGAGGTCGAATGCTAAAAGCCTGCCACGCTCAAATGCAGCAACAAGAAAATGCGCACTTTCAGAGTATGACACGACTTCGCATGAGTATTTGCGACGCTCCTCTTCTATATGAAGCATCTTACCGAACCTGAGGTATCCACGTACCGTTCCATCCACTTCGGCACGCAGACATGAATAACTATGAACACCCTTGTCGTCCAAATAACCTATTAGGCCGCGCGGATCATAGCACGCCCACGCTCCGTCACGACATCTTTGCTTCAGAATTGGCTGTATAGGGTTCATCCAATCCCAAAGCTCTAAGCCGTTGTCTTTTATTTGTAATGCAATGATATGGTCAACCGTAGATAAGATCGCTAGTTTTCTGATAGTTTTGGAGCTGAGCAAACCAAAGCCGCGATCCCTGATGCCAAATTCTTTAAGTAGTTTCCCTTCCCGAACATGCCATATAGAGACATTAGGGCCCCAGCAAGCAGCCAGAATGGAGCAATCAACTGAAACGGCGATGTGAGAGTATCTAGTAGAACTATCGAATGATTTCGGAAGAAGAAACCTTGCTGTATCCTGGCGTCCGCTTGGTTCGACCGCTTTCGGTTCATCCGTATCCGTAACAGAAATCTCAAATTCGTCAATCCCAGGCCCGACATTTTGGGGAATCATTACCAGGGTTGGGAGATGTAGCTATCACTTCGTAAGCCTTGGTGATAAGGGCGTCCCGCCCATCACCCTTTGGAGGGTTTGGGCCTCGGCCTGTCACATCAGCAGGCTGCGCTGTGCCAATAGGAGAGGTGTCGATTTTGATCTTGGGCTTAGCCCTACGGGAGTCAATCCCAGGAATGAGCGAGACATTTTCTCTTTCCTGGGCCACGGATGCAGCTTTTAAGCTACGGGCTACGCGACTAACAGTATCATTGCTCCATCTGGAGACTTTCGGTAGCGGGCCAACTCCGTGACGTTGTAGTTGATCTGGCGAATACATCGGCTGTGAGACATCTTGGGCGTAAAACTTGGATTCATCTTGTGTTGATGCAGCCGTTGGGGCTACAACGCTGGGACGTTTGCTGCGGCCTTGTGTGTCTGACCATCTTGAAATCTTTGGAAAGAACCCAGGTTCGCGATGTTCTAGTTGATGTGGCATATATTTCGGGGATAGTGGGACATTTTGGAGGTTGTAATCGTCACTGTGGTCTGATGTCGATGAAGGCGTGTGTGGCGCAAGCACCTCCCGGATTTCAGTTGAGCTATCTCGTCGAGGAGAACTTCCTTCTAGGTCCTCCCCCGAGCCACCCGCCTCGCCGTGCGGTATTGTAAGCTCATTACGTACGCCTCCAATCCGAGGGGCAGATATTTTGAGGTCTCCTCTCGAAGTCTTCCTTGGCGCATCATCGTCGACCGTATGCTCCTCTTGGTAAGATACCCAGCTTTGATCAGGCGATATTCTCATTTTTGGAGAGCTGACAATTAGCTATATGATTATATTTATATCATTAGAGAACTCACGAGGCTGTACTTGAAATGCCTTCATTGATGCTTCCGTCTCGAACAGCTTCGTCATAAACTGTCTCGGCATAGCTCGTAATACTGTCAAGGTAACGCTCCAGTATCACATTATCCTGCTGCTCCTCAGAAAGCAAAGACCTCAGGCGCGCAATTTCAGCCAGAATTTGTGACGTGTCTTCCTTGATATCAGCAGTGTCACTCTTCAGTGCGGTTGTGTCGACCTTGATCGCCTTGGTGACAGATCTTAAAAGGCAGTGAGCACACGGAACAGTATCTCATGACCTATGATGAGGACTCACAGATTGACGGTCTCCAAAGTTAAGCTAAGAGTTCCGCGATACGCCTCTAGAGACTGCCGAAGGTAGGCGACCTCCTTCTTCCCATCGGCTACCCACTTGACAGCTGCGAGGCGACCTTCATGTCTTTGAATGACCTTGTCAACGGTGAGAATGACACCATGGCAGCCTGTTAGAAGAGATTTGATCTGGGAGTGCATTGCCTCGGGAATGGCAGCCTCTCCGACTGCTTCGCTATCATCTTTGAGGAGTTCCAGCACGATCTTGAGGTCTGATAGCTCACGAGAGACATCTGTCAGGTCACGCCGTGCTTCCCTGCAGCCCTTAACAAAGCCAGAAATGGCGATGGTAGTACTGGCAATCGCACTCAGAAGGCTGAGACAGCCCGTGGTAATTGACAAGGGATCCATAGAGATGTCAACTACCGTGACGAGCCTTCTCCATGTAGAGATGGCTTTGGAGACTCGCAGCAATTCCATGCAGTATCAAAATGCACAAGGCTCTGCCTAAGCGCTGGGAGCGAGGCGAAACGCGGGGCTGCAGCCACTGATGCACTGCCTCGACCAAATGCACGCTCACGGGCAAGGCTCTCATACCTGACTACATATTGAGAAAGTTGGAGATATATGAGACAGAGCAACTGAAGAGTTGTTCTCCTAAGATGATGTGAACTTCTTGGCCGTCATCTTGAATTGGACATCCCTGCTGGGGATGTACATGACGATCCCTCCGATTTAGAACGAACACATCCAAAACCACTCAGCTTCAAAGAGACTGCTCTGTGGCAGGGACAGTCGTCAAGTGTCTCACCGTAAGTTTGGAGCATGATGCAATCTTGGTATATTACGAGGTGACCAGCCGCTTGGGAATACTGGACGGAGTGCACAAAAGCATATGAGACCTGGGCCAAAAAAAAACTAGAAGGTCAACGTTGAGGTTGGCATCATCATATGCCATAAGAGACGGTGATGTTGGATGTTGTCAAAGTAGCCGCCGTGCTACTGCTCGGTTTAACAGGGGACCACCCTTGATCATCTGGCGCGAACTAGAACATCCGCGACCGGCACGAATAAAAGGAGTCATTGACACATATCTCCAGAACTCAGCGTAAGTCGGCCATATCATGACTCTTGTATGGGCTTAGGCGTGCGTCTTTTTCCCGTTGATCCACTGTCTCGGACCGTCTGGGTCTGGATGCGTGTAATTGCCTCAAAACAACGAGAGGCCGGTATGCTCGGGCGCCCTGCTTTTTCTGCTGCAAGATCAATCTTGTTACTTGTCACTCGGTAGGCTGACCAACAGATAAACACCACCAAGCTTTGGATCGGCGTTACGACGGCTCCGCTAGCAAAGATGCGGCATAGTAGGAGATATCATCTTACCTGATACTGTAGCTGTGGCCGTGGGGCGTCAAGAAAAAGGGAAAAGGCGAGTGAGAGGGCCACACCCGCCACGACCCGCCGCGATCCGTTGCCAAGCGCTAAATCTTAAAGCAGAGAGCTGCTGTAACGATGACGCAGCACCCTTCCCTGCCAGGCGATTAACTAAGCCCTCGTCATTCTCCCCAATTGCCATTGACCTCTTGGATGGCTGGATTGCGATATTTGCATTTCTGCAACCTTCCAGAACGCCACTGAATACCCTTGAGGATTCTTCTGTCTTTTTTTTGCCGTATCGCAAATAGATTTTTCTCTCTCTCGTGAGCGTCTGCAGCTGCGGCAGAATTGATCTCCCGCCGTCGCCATTGCCAGCGCTATGTCTTTACGCTCTCTTATCGACAACGAGTTGTAGATCCATCCCTCGTTCAACCTTGTTGGCAACGCCTCAAGCCAGTGCGATGCCATCACCAGCTTCATTTACGATGCTTGCCGCCCGCGCCGGGCGGCAGTCGACACTAAGAAGCCCTCTCAATGCCTCTACTCTCATGAGAGATCAGATCGGTCTAGCACAAACCCGCGCTTTCAGCAAGACGACGAAGCTCCCCGCGCCGACCAAGATCAAATCGACCAGCCCCGTCACGATCCGCCGTCGAGCATGGCAGTTCTTCCTGCCCAAGCATGTCAACGCACGTTTCTTATCTGGAAAGCCACTGCCCCAGCGTAAATCGCGAGTTTTGAACTTCACCTATCGAGCTTTCGCGTGGATCGGCAGTTCCTTCGTCTTCATCGGCATCGGCGTGGTCGGCTTCTTCCTTTACGACGCCAGCACATACATTGAGCATCCGGTCTCCGGAGACATTGATGTCTCTCCCTTAGCCCTAAACCCCCCACGAGGTGGACCCAAGAACCTTCCTATATGCGAGGTCATGATAGACGATGACGATTGTGCGGAGCAGAAGAAACAGAAGGATAAGCCGAAGCTGGTTATTCTTGGAGGCGGATGGGGAGGAGTTGCTCTGCTGAAGGAGCTCAACCCCGACGACTATCATGTTACCGTGATTTCCCCTGCGAACTACTTCCTCTTCACACCCATGCTTCCCTCCGCGACAGTTGGCACCCTCGAGCTAAAGTCGCTAGTCGAACCAATCCGGCGCATTCTACAACGAGTCAAGGGCCACTTCATCCGCGCCAAGGCGGAGGATGTTGACTTTTCGAATCGTCTGGTCGAAGTTTCCCAGCTCGATGCACTGGGAAAGGAAGTCAGGTTCTACGTACCGTATGATAAGCTCGTCATTGCCGTCGGCTCTGTTACAAACCCACATGGAGTTAAGGGGCTTGAAAACTGCTTCTTCTTGAAAGATATCAACGACGCCCGGAAGGTCCGCAACCAGGTTATTCAGAATCTAGAGTTGGCTTGTTTGCCTACCACGACCGATGAAGAGAGAAAGCGACTGCTCTCATTCGTGGTCAGTGGCGGAGGCCCAACAGGTGTTGAATTTGCTGCTGAATTGTTTGACTTGCTGAACGAAGACTTGACGAAGCATTTCCCCAAACTTTTACGAAACGAAATTTCTGTTCACTTAATTCAGAGCCGTGGACACATTCTTAACACATATGATGAGGCCGTGTCCAAGTATGCAGAGGAGCGCTTTGCCCGCGACCAAGTCGAGGTCCTCACCAACTCACGAGTAAAGGAAGTTAAGCCTGACCGGATTGTATTCACACAGACAGGAGAGGGTGGGCAGGTTGTCACAAAGGAGCTGCCGATGGGCTTCTGCTTATGGTCTACTGGTGTATCGCAGACGGAGTTTTGCTCAGGCCTATCAGCCAAGCTGGGACCTTCACAAACAAACCGACACGCGCTGGAAACCGATACCCACCTTCGACTAAATGGAACGCCCCTTGGTGATGTCTATGCGATCGGAGATTGTTCGACTGTCCAAAATAATGTTGCGGACCACATCGTGCATTTCCTCCGCACACTCGCTTGGAAGCACGGCAAGGATCCTGAGACGCTGGAGCTACATTTCGCAGACTGGCGCAACGTGGCACAAGAGGTGAAGAAGCGCTTCCCTCAAGCAGTTGGCCATCTCAAGCGTCTAGATAAGTTGTTTGCCGAATTCGACAAGGATCAGTCGGGCACCCTCGACTTCGGAGAGCTGAGAGAGCTCCTAAAGCAGATTGATAGCAAACTGACGTCACTACCTGCGACCGCACAACGTGCCCATCAACAAGGCCAGTACCTCGCCCACAAGTTCAACAAGATGGCACGTGCGGCACCCGGTCTCAAGGCGAACGATATCCGTGACGGCGACCTGGATGCTGCTGTCTACAGGGCATTCGAGTACAAGCACCTGGGCAGCTTGGCATACATCGGCAACTCTGCGGTCTTTGACCTCGGCGAGGGCTGGAGCGTGAGCGGTGGCCTGTGGGCTGTGTATGCATGGAGGAGCGTGTACTTTGCGCAGAGCGTAAGTTTCAGGACGAGAGTTCTCATGATGTTTGATTGGGCCAAACGTGGACTTTTTGGAAGAGGTGAGACTGCCACTCTTGCTTCAATCTATACACAGTATGCTAACAATCACGCAGATTTGATGAGCTACTAAGGCGTTGATTTGAGTGATTAGAAATACCTTTCATGTGGTAGACCAAGAGCGGATCTGACACGCCGCTCAAGACTCAATATGATACATTAGACGGATACCTTCGCCTTAAGTTGTCAAAGTATGACAATTAGGCGTGAGAGAGGAGATGAAGAAGCGAAAGGCAGAGCTCTTTCGTTGGAGTTGTAAATATACCATAAACTTATGCTTTCAAGAATAACGAGTCTGTGACAAGTGCTGACCATCATGCGAGCTACGTGTGCATCTCCAAGTCCGGCCAAATATCAGCCTGGTCCATCATCCACGATGTGTCCAACAGCTCCGGGCCAATGACCGGCTCGTCCGTGACCTCGTCGTCCTCCCGGATATGGAACGCCGCCTTGCTCAAAATGTTCATGAAGCTCAGCTCGACGCTGCACTTGTCCGTTGGCTCGGCTAGGCCCGCCAGGCCCGCCATGTACTTGCGGTGCCAGTCGACCGAGCTCGCGGCGAACTGCCGCATGCGCCAGAAGTAGTCGCGCCGCTCGCGCCCGCTCGGCAGCAGCGTCACCAGCGCGGCGAAGCGCCGGTCCAGCGCCGACAGGTAGTAGCCGATGTCGGCGATCTCGACCAGCCGCTTCGAGTCCAGGTTCCAGGTGCTCTGTTCGAGCGTGATGATGCTGAGGATGAGGATCGCGTACAGGAGGCGAGCTTCTTCGATCAGCGTGCTGCGCCGGAGCAGCTCGTCGGGGAGCTGCAAGAACATATCGATGCAGGCCTGCGCGGCGCGGATGCATGCGATGACGATGTCGTGGCGTGCGGTGGACGCGCACCAGCTGCAGCAGTTGGTGTTGCCGGCTTGGAGAATCTGGAAGTGGCTGCGCGGAATATGTAGCCCGACCTCGTGGATGTATATTTCCAAATTCAGGCATTTTGACTGAAGAGTCCCTGCGAAATTTCTCAACCTTTGAACAATCAAGGATAGTACTGTTGGCTTACAATTATTCCTCACGTCTTCAGGAAAGGCATCCTTCACTTCTTTAAGCTCCCTCTTGAAGCGTTGGACCATCTCGTGGATTCGAATTGGGTCCATGGGTTCTGACTCCCTCCACTCAGGGTTATCATAGCGAAACACACGATGAACATCCTCGAAAATGATCTGGAGACGGATGAAGTATGGGAGTATTAGGTCCGAAGGATCATTGCTGATGTGTTCGAGTAAATTGACCACCTCTTCGACCTGTTTGTTATACTTGAATAGTGTTGGCTTTCGCATTGCTATCGACATACTATATTCATCGGTCAGAGTCCTGGATCTGAATACGCTTCACGTATGCTCACTATGATGACATGTGGTGACAGGCGATGAATGTCCTCAGACGCTCCATGTCATAAGCGAACCTTGTATTGTACAGTCGGTTTCTATACTGGTTGGCCGAGACTAAAAACAGATCCCTTGCTGCTCCGTCGAAGTCTGAGAGGCCGATGTCGACTGCAATGGACAGAGCAAGTTGAGAAAATTGATAAAGGCATTGCCGACTGGGGTCGATATATCGATGATACCTTGGGAACTCTTAAGCTGTCGAACATGATGAGTTGAACAACAATCTTACCAGGCAATGTATGTTATAAGCCCCTGTAATATATCGAGGCTCTTTTCTGACTTGACAACGACTTGTTCAGCAACCATCTTCCGAAACTCGGATTCTAGCCGCTTCTGAAGCTGGTCCTGAGAGCTCGCCGTGAGGATAGCATGGAGAAGACATGGGCGCTCCTGTCGCATGTAGTCCAGATTGGCATCTGGCGGGACACTAATGAAGGGAAGCACTGGCGTTGCAATATGATAGCTCCGCAGTAGCTGGGTTGCAACTTCAGCGCTGATTAGTCCTCTTGAGATCACGTCTGGAATAGATCGGTTCCCCAGCCACGAGTTTGGGTCCCTCGTGTACAAGCCACCGGAAATCGGAATGGTTGGTTGTCTCCTGCGCACATCCGCATATGCTGGCTGGTCCCGAGCCTCCGTGAAATTTGGAACAGCGGCCGCTTGAGGAAATTCCGGCTCCTTTCGCGCTGCTATAAGGGCGATGAGGCCGTCGAGTTTCTGCTCAACATCCTTTACTCGAGCTCGTCTGTATTGTCTCCGTGAGTTTGGAAATCATACCCTGATATCGATCCGCCGTTAGGAGTCTTACGCTGTCGACTTCATGCGGCGCGGCCGAGCTAGCGCTTCTTCAAAGATACACTCGGTTGCGTGGCTGACGCATCTGAGGTCCTGGCTTAAGCTTCAATTCGCAGCAACAGGATAGAAGGATTTGATGTACCTTTCGCATTGACGTAATCCATCTCCTTCAGCATCCAGGGGGATACATCGGACCTTGAGAGTCCTGCAAGCTTCGCATGACCGGCGCAGATTTCCTGTAGTTCTTCTACCTTGAGAATCCGAGCTCGGCTGGCTGTAATCATGAATGGCTTGGTTCATTCTGTCTAATCCAGCAAAAAATGCAATGTTACAACATTCCAATACTCAAACGGTACCAGAATGCAAGGAGTCCCCCTTTACCAAGTTGTAAGTTCATGGGAATGATTAAGCATTTGAGGCATCTTATGCTTAGATAAGACTCGCCAAAGCCTCTGGTAGATATCCTTAAATAGTGAGCAGGATCAACAGAGGTGCAGAGCCAAGCTTTCACAGCACATCGACCGCATAACGGCGGAGCCATCATGGTTCCGAGATTCCAGAACCCCTGGTGGTGATCGTGGCGTCGATCACCTATTGGCTTACCATAGCCGGAGATACTACAGACAAGGTTACCAGCATGCTGACACCATCTGGATTTAACGATGACTTCGGCGGAGACACACTAGATGCCTTTAGGGCTGACCGCACCATCAAACACACTGACGGAGCTCTTCTAGGCGAGGTAAAGCTAAGATAACAGTGGCCGGGATGCCCGATTTCCTGGTACTATGTAGATGGACTTAAACCTGGCAAATGCAGGACAACACCATCTCACGCCCTGCATGCAACACCTGGGTCTTTAGGGCTGGCAAATAACCTTAATCTACTCGATATCAATCTGAAATCATTGGCCTCTCTGGATGAGAAACATACGAGGCTTCTGTATGACTAATGATTCTTAATAGAATGGCTGAGAAAGTCATTGGCACGCGGCCCACACGCTCATAACCTACTGCTTCGCAGGTTGATGCCCTCTTTGGTTCTGGCTGATGTCGAGCCAGCTCACCCCCAAGATGTTACGAATATCCTATTACGGTTCCCACTAGCCAAAATGAACTTGTCCCTGACCTATTCATCGCAGACTGCGTTATCCTCAGCACGCGATTCCACGGTGCTTCAGGCGCCGCCAAAGCAATGTGCAATACCTAACAGTGGGGTCTGTTACTGTCATGAGCCAGACGGTAAGAACGCGATAGGCGAAACAGTCTCACAGTTGGCCGCAGAGGTACCTATGTTTACGACTGCTTCTGTATCATGCCATACATGCACCAACAACTTTGAACAACCATATAGTGGACCCTTAATAGGGGTAGAGATCTGACTAGTCCAGGCGAAAATTAAGCAACATCATGCTAGCGCTACTTGGTATTCTGATATCACAAGATTAGTTAGATGGTGTCTTGGATGCTTATGTTTCTGGAGATGCAAGGTCTTCGTATAGATGAGGAATTTGGCGATTCTTCGATTGATGCCTTGACAGATCAAAGTCTGCCTCGCCTTTGATCAAAATCAGGTGCTGGATCGATTGCTTTGCCCCTGAATTTAGGCGCCGAGAGACCCATCGACGTCCAATAAGGGTTTCAGGGTCTGCGCAAGACTACCCCGCGTGATCAAGACCGCTCTGTTTAGCCACCCAGCGACAGCATATCTTAGGCCACAAGCATTTCTGTCGATGGACCGCCATGAGTCTTGACATGGCATTTCCTAGCGATTTTGAGGAGAGTCCAAATAACAATGCGTCGTGGTGAAGATAAATTCCGCAGAGGAAGAGCGAAACTAAAACCTGCTGTATGCAAAGCTGATCACAGCGACTAGCGAAAATGTCTGGTCTCGAGGCCCTGAGCCTCGTCTGCAATATCTTGCAAATCATCAGTGCTGCACATAGCACTGTCTCTTTTTGCAAGGCTGTCTATCAGGGCAGTTCTCCTGATGCGCATCTTGGCGATAATGCGGTCGCTTTGGCGTCTCTCTCTGCCGAGGTTGAGATGTTCTACGCATCAAGACAGCCGCCTCGGACTGCTCACGAGAAGAGCCTTGCTGATGTGGCTAAGAAGTGCAATATCGCCGCTCGCGCCCTAGAGGAGGAGGCCAAGTTTCTGATTGGTAATCGTGCCAAGGGCAACCTGGCAACTACGATCAAAATTGCCGTGAAGACGAATTGGAGAAAGAATCGTCTTGACAAGCTGGAGAAGTCTCTTGAGGCCTACCAACGAACCATGGAATCTCAGCTACTAGCGCAGGTGTTGTAAGTCCACGAATTGCCTACACTCAGCCTCCTGGGCAAGCCTGCTGATATGAGAGCACAGCAAACAGTCCGACGCTATTGCACTCGAACAACGCGAGGGTTTTGATGCGTTACGGAAAGACTTGCAATATTTTGCGTCGCAGTACTCGCAGGGTCATACGAGACTGAAGGATCTCGTTGAGAAGGAATCAGTGAAAGGACGAGAGCAGTCTTCGAGAGAAATAAAACAGGCCGAGAAAGCCCTGAAGACACATACCACGAAAAGCCTTTTGGCTACTGAGGCTACAATCACGGCGCATGTGACAGCTCAAGCAACAGAAACGATAGGATTGATTACCCAGAATGCTCACAAGCTAAATCTGCAAGCCGTTGACTCAGGCAGGAGAGAACGGGTCTTGGGGAGCCTGAAGTTTCCATCGATGAACGAGCGATGGAACCAACTCACAGACTCTCACGAAGATACTTTCAAGTGGGTTTTTGATTCATTATTAGAGCGAAACGACGCGTCAAACCCCGGATCGGAGTCGAAAGATTCACCCAACGGGATAGGTCAGCACAGAGACAGACCCTGGGATAGCTTTAGCGACTGGCTCAAGTCCGACAGCAAGATGTTCTGGATTAGTGGCAAGCCAGGGTCTGGAAAGAGTACTTTGGTCAAATACATTGTGTCGGCGCTGCCAACCATTACCGACTTGAACTTATGGAGATCTGAATGCCGGATATTATATCACTTTTTCTGGAAGCCAGGATTGATGATACAACGGAGCATTAAAGGAATGCTGTGCTCGCTATTATATCAGATCTTTATTTCTGACTCCGCTGTCATCGATGCCAACCTGATGCGGTTTGATTGGTTAGCAACAAAGGATGTAGATACTGATTGGTCACCCAAAGAATTGCAGCTGTTGCTTCTAACAGTTCTGAGCACTCAAGACGTTTCATTTTGCATTTTCATTGACGGACTTGATGAGATCTGTCAAGAGGACGGAGCAGGAGCCCTTCTGAAGCTGGTGGCAGACTTGAAGGCGATTCCAAATGTCAAGCTTTGTCTAGCCAGCCGGCCCGAGCCACGCTTTCGAAGGCAACTTTCCATAGAGCCACATCTGACACTAGAGGATCTGACAGCGTCTGATATGGAGAGTTACACACGAAGTATGCTGGAGCCTTATTTGGTCATTGGCCGGATGCATCTAATGAGATACATCGTGCACGACTTGGTCGATAAAGCCGAAGGCGTGTTTCTGTGGCTACGCCTTGCGATTCGTAGCCTCGTCGACGGGCTCGAGAATGGCGACAGCGAAGACGAGCTTATCGAGCGCCTTGACGGATTTCCTAGGGAGTTGTCCAGGCTTTACTATGACATGTGGACCAGGCTTAACGAAAACGTCAACATTTATCAAAAGAGTGCCGCCAAATACTTCAATCTCTTAATTGGGGCGGTCTTTATCAATGACCAAATTACAGAGCGCACTCCGATTTCGTTGATTGATTCTCCGCTTGAGGGTGGCGGATCAGTCTTCCAACTTGTTGCTGCCGCGGATCCCAATGTCCAGACAGCACTGCTTTCTCTCAAACTTGGCATGAGTGAGCAAGATTTAGACACCGCCTGCTCTAAACTTCGTAATGATATTCTGGTGAGGTGCGCAGGCTTGGTAGAAATACGAAAAACGAGCGAAACATCGCCGGGAAACTTGCGTCCTTTCTTCTGGAAATCGTCAGATGGCATGCTGGAATCTCACATATCGTCTCGTGTAACATTCGTACATCGGACGGCCTACGACTTCTTGATCGAAGACGAGGAAGGCTGTCGCATTCGCCAATATGATCTGTCTTCGCTAGACGAGCAGGTGATTCAAATTGTTAAAGGCGAACTGGCCGCATCGAGGATGTACCGTCTTCGTGGTCACAACTCAGTATTTGGAGTACTACTCGCTCTATCTACGATTGAAATCCCGAAGTTCACGGAAGAAATAAATCAACTGTTGCAGCTTTGCTGGGAGTGGTATGACGAGGGATACTTGGCGCCGGACGAGCGCGATATTCACCATGCAAAGCCTCACTTTCTTGCAGTAGCAAGCTTGCCACCCTTTTCAAACTTTGTCGTGTCAAGAATAGAAGAAAGCTTACAGCCGTCGGTTCTTGCGACAGAGATACTGCGGGACCTGCTAATTCACAAGCCTTCCTGCGAGATCCCCGAAATCTTGCAGTGTTTCCTCAAGCCGCTGCTCTCAATCAATGGCAATATCAATACCACGGGGGTGTGTAGTGCACCTTATCCCGGCATCAGCCCAACAAATGCCGTGCCTTTCAGCACTGCTTTCGCCCAATTTCTGCAAGGACTTGTGTATCAGCTCTCGCAGTTCGGATCTATTGGGACACTGGAGATGGATATTCTTTCAACCTGCCTAGAAACGGAACCGGATCTTACACAACGCATCCCTATTACATACACTTGCTATTTTAAAACGCCAGAAACACAAAACAACCCACAATATCGTCTTTACGTTGACAGGCGTATTGCGGACGAGTTTTTCCCTTCCAAGGGTATTCTCCATCTAACTATAGATGGAAATGCGGCGTTCTGGATCAAAGCCCTCCTACGAGCTGCAGCTACATCGAGGGCTTATGAGCCGAGAAAATCAATGCACGCAAGGGACACAGTAGCTCCTCATGCTCGAGTAGCAATAATACTTCAATCAGACCCCAAAACAGGACCTAGATGCTATCGACCTTTGGAAGGGGATCTTATCGGACGGTTCATGACATTGTTTGAGGCGTGGCTAGATGGATCGGAGGCTAGAAGTACAGTAGCAGACACAGTGGAGGATATAGCTGAGGAGATCCGTAATGGTTCTCACCTCTATGAGTATGCTCCGGGTTCTATTAATGAGAGTCTGGCTCGAGATCGTTGTGGCTACCGGTTCATAGATGAGGATGGCAATGTGATAGAGTGAGCTCGATAAATCACCCAAAAGAAGAGAATGCAAGAAGTAGTAAAACATAATGTTTCTTGAATGGCTTCGTCATATAATTGCAGTCAACCCAGGGGATGTGCTTCCATGTGGCTCGCTTGACCTGTTTTATATTTTTTTTTCCTTTTTCAAGTTTACGTCGGCCTCAAAAGTTGAAAGTTGGTATCCCTGGCAATCGATAAACGGGCTTCGTAGGATGCTTTTCCGATTGATTATTTGACATGGAAGCCGATACAAGTAAGGAAGAAGCTTTCAAGGCTGATATTATGAATCGCATATTCTGGAAGGCACTCTAATGGAAATATTTTAGAAGCAGATTGATATTGAAGAATGCGCAAGATTTGCAATCTTCACAAACAGCATTACTCCCCACCGGACCACTCTCCATCTGACGATCCCCCATAAGTTGCCGCATCAGAAGCGGTATCCGAATTATCCCCAGTGTCACCATCGTTGTGTGTTCCATTTGGCTCTTCGACCTGATCATATACTCATCAACTTTTACTTAAATAGGAAGGTGGCCCACCCAGCCACCCCTGGCAAGTCTTTTCTAAACCCGCTGTAACCTCATTACAGGCTAAGCTACTTTTCTGCTCTCATTTCTGCAGTGTTATTCCATAGTACAGTATCACGGCCTTCGGCACCGCCAGCCGTACTTGCAATTTCAAATTCCCGTCATGCAGCCGGCCGAGAGCCCGGAAGCTTAGCAGATGGTGCCGAGCCTTTCCCATGGGGAGTATCGGCTACTCCACAAATACCCCCACATACTCAACCCCGAGCATCGGCCTCTGGACGATTGGCTAGGTCTTCTTATGATCTTGTCCAAATATATCATCGGAGAGATCTTACCTCCACGACTGAACTCACATTTCGACAGGCCAGATATCCCAAAAGTGTAAGACTGACAGACTGACAGACTGACAGATTAACGTGGCCCTCGTGAACACATAATACAGAAAAGATGGCGAGCAACAAAGCCCCGAATATCATTTTCATCATGGCCGACGACCATGCTGCCAAGTCTATTTCTGCATATGGGCACGGCATCAACTCAACGCCACATATAGACCGGTTAGCCAAAGAGGGGATGCTCTTCAATCACTGCTATGTGACCAACTCTTTGTGCACTCCCTCACGAGCCGCAATTCTCACCGGAACTCACAACCACGTGAATAATGTCATGACGCTCAACTCGATGATCAACAACCGCATACCCAACGTGGCCAAGCACCTCCGCGGCCACGGCAATTACCAGACTGCGATGTTCGGTAAATGGCACCTGGGTGAGGGTCCTGGCCACGAGCCTACAGGTTTCGACCAGTTCAGCGTGCTTCCTAATCAGGGAGAGTACTGGGACCCTCATTTCATTAATAAAGGCGAGCCGGGCATGAAGCGTGTTTTTGGCTACGCGACAGATATCATCACGGACAAGACCATTGAATTTATGAAGCACAGAGATAAGAGTCGCCCATTCTTCGTCATGACGCATCATAAAGCCCCCCACCGCTCATGGGAATTTCATCCTAAGCATAAAGATCTCTACAAAGACAAGATTCAAATTCCAGACACTTTTACCGACGACTATAAAAATCGCGCCAAGGCTGCAGCGAATGTGAAAATGCGAGTCGCCGATGACTTGACTTATTTTGACCTTGGCCTCGTTCAGCCACAGGGGGGCCGCGAAGCCGTTGGCGCAAAGCTGTTTGACACTGTATGGAACTTCCCCCATCGCAAGGTACCACAGCCAGAGGATGTATCCGATATCATTCTCCGTGATTCAGAAGACGGAACAGTGTTCACCTTCAAGACCCGCGAAGAGCTGGCCGAGTTCAAGTTCCAGCGCTATATGCAGCGATATCTGCGGACAATCCAGTCCATTGACGATAACGTTGGACGCATACTAGACTATCTAGAGGAAGAAGGTGTTGCAGAGAACACTGTTGTGGTATACACGTCCGATCAAGGCTTCTTTTTGGGCGAGCACGGCTGGTGTGACAAGCGGTTCATGTACGAAGAAAGCTTCCAGATGCCACTCCTTATACGTTATCCGCGAGAAGTTAAAGCCGGATCTGTTAACAACGATATCATTTGCAATGTTGACTTTGCCCCAACCTTCTGCGATCTAGCAGGCTTGATAGCGCCCTCGTATATGCAGGGCAATTCGTTCCGAACATTATTACAGGGAACTACTCCCGAGGCGTGGCCCCAAGTAGCCTTCCATCGATACTGGATGCACAACGACTCTGTACACTACGCATACGCGCATTATGGAATCCGAGACCAGCGCTATAAGATCATCTACTGGTATAATGAGGATTTAGGAATCGAAGGCGCGAATCCCGGAGGCACTGAACCTGAATGGGAGATGTTCGATTGCCAAGAAGATCCTTTAGAGCTACTTAATGTTTATGGCGATCCGAACTACCAGGATATTGTCAAGAGAATGACAGCCATGTTAGAAACCAAAATGATGGAAATCGGCGATCTGCCACTCCATCCTAGGTCTTGAGTAATGGAGCTGCTTATATGAATAAACCAATGAACAACCTGAATATATCCAACGATTAAGACATCTTCCTTTCAAAATTTGATGCTAACCGGGAATACTAAAGTTCCTAGAAATATAAGTAGTGATCTTGGATATGTTTAATTGAGGGGTGATCCGCGTCATCGGTACATGGACTTCAAGAATACACTAAATCATGCTCAAACAAACAAGTAGAAGAGATGGAGCGAAAGTGGCATGCTAGGTGCTTACACAGGCTATTCATCAGGCCATTACATGTTCAACTACAGTTTAGACATCCATTGACCTTTTTGATCGTTCAACAGTTGCAAGGCCCGGACCATAAATCTCCCTTGCGATCTGACACGGCGCTCGGTGCGAGTACTCGGGAGTGACGTCGGCTTGAAGCCTGATGGTAAGCTACCATCGCTTCGAGTACCGTCCCGATGTCCGCTCGCGGTTCCGCGGCCGTCAATATATAGTTCCTCATTATCGGGTTACAAGACTCTCGAGCCGAATACAGTCGGTTCTGCGGCAACTGCGAAGGAATTCGAAATATGCCAAACTATTATCTCTCCCGACACTCCCCGCCCAATATTCCCCATTCCAGGTGGAGTTGTAGGTCCAGAGATCCTGGATTCAGCTTCAACTAAGACGTCCTCAGTTTAGCGATCGTGACTAGGCTTACCGAAACTCCCCGCACAAATGAAAAACTAAAAGGCTTCACGCGTCGGGTTTAGTGCAAGGACGTGGAGATAGCAACCCCATCATTTTCTCCACACCCCAGATCTTACTCACGGGGCATGAGTGGATCTGTGGAGAAGACTGTTCTTCGACATGATGAATACATTTAAGCCCACCCTGCTTTTCTCACGAGGTTGCAATCTATCATTCGCGAGATATTCCAGCATTCACTACTCTATTGTTATTTCTCGCTCTTCTTTAGACACCAATGACATCGACTACGCACCAAGCCAGCAACTCAGAGGATGTGTGGGTAGACAACTCCATGGCCCAAGACAAGGAAGCTGCTCGTGAGGAGGAGGGGGCAGAGCTTGTTGGCAACCAAGTTGACGCTCATCTGTCAGTCAAGGAAGCTCTTCGTTACTATTGGAAGGCAATCTTCTGGTCCTTTCTCATTTCTAATGCCACGATCATGGAGTCGTACGATCTCATCCTCAATAACCTGCTGATTGCATATCCGGCTTTTCAAAAGTCTTTTGGCGAGCAACTGCCCAATGGCTCGTGGTCCCTCGACTCGCAGTGGCAGGTCGCGTTGAAGATGTCGACAAATATTGGTCTTACCATTGGTGTGCTCGTGAATGGTTGGCTGTCGGATCGGTGGCCGCCACGGCTCCTCATGATCGGCGCACATATCCTTGTGATAGCATTTGTTTTCATCTCTTTCTTTGCCCAGCGAATCGAGGTTCTCTTTGTCGGTTCATTGTTGACGTAAGTCTCACTTGTGGTATGCGGAAACATTGTCGATCGAAGCTACTGACACAATTTGTCTCTCATGCAGGGCCATTCCTTGCGGATTTTTCGTACCAGCAACGTCAGCCTATGCGGCGGAGATATGTCCAACGAAGTTGAGAGGTTACATGACGACGTGAGTGCTCGAACTTCAATAGTATAGTCTCGACTTTTTGCTAATTGCGACCGATCAGGTACGTTAATCTTGGGTGGGTCATCGGCCACATGATTGCAGCAGGCGTCTGCCAGGGCCTGCTCAAGGTTCAAGGAGAATGGTCGTGGCGCATCGTCTATGCGGTACAATGGGCATGGCCGGTACCGCTGGCAGTTGCTTGTTGGTTCGCTCCCGAATCACCCTGGTGGCTGGCACGCAAGGATCGGATCGAGGATGCAAGGAAGTCACTCCAGAGACTATGCTCTGCTCCTCTCGACGTCATCAACCCAGACGATACACTCGCCATGATCCAGGGTATACTTCGACTCGAGAGAGAGGAGATGAAGATCCAAGGCACATATCTTGACTGCTTCAAAGACACCAATCTTCGACGAACGGAAGTGGCCGTTGTAAGCTGGGGTGGCCAGATTCTGCCTGGCTTTGTCATACAGAACTATGCCACGTACTTCTTCACTCTGGCCGGCCTCAGCGCAAGTGACTCCTTCAAAATCTCCCTAGGCAAGCTTTCTCCCGATTGAGGCCCTATATGAATCTTTACTTACTCCGAGGATTGTATAGGAAACTACTCAATTGCCTTTGTTGGCACAGTCTTGTCATGGTTCTTGCAGCCACATGTTGGCCGACGCACAATGTATTTCTCGGGGCTTTGTATAATGGCTCCTTTGATGTTCATCATCGGTTTTGTCGAGCTCGCTCCACAGAATAATGGCACTTTATGGGCAAAGCCAGCTGTGCTTATGGTTTGGGTATGATTTTCCTGCAACTTCAGATTGTCCCCTTTCTTTTACCTTCTACATGCTAAAACTTCGTGTGGGATTTAGTTCTTCTTTTACAGTCTAACCATCGGTCCCGTCCCGTTCACGATTGGCGCGGAGGTAGGAGCAGCACGCTTGCGTTTGAAAACTATCTCGCTGGCTCGTACTACCTACTACGTTTTGAACATTATCAATACGGTGGTTGCTCCTTATATGTTAAACCCTAAGGAAGGTAATTTGAAAGGCGAGGCTGCCTTTCTGCCTGGAGGTCTCGCGGTCTGCATGATTATCTGGACCTGGTTTCGACTGCCAGAGACGAAGGACATTACGCCTGGTGCACTGGACAGGCTGTTTCAATCTCGCACTCACACGAGGAAGTTTGTAGAAGAGTCAAAGAAGTATCAGTGAGTACAATCTTCAGTTCTGTCCGACTATGTGACATCAAAAGGAGGACTGGGCGGTAGGGCCTCTTATAGAGCCGTCTTCCACCTGTTTCACCGGCGACCATGGTTCCATTAACTCTATTAGATAGGCGTGGATGGCCACATTCTGTGATATAGTCATCTTATGACCTGAATCTTGGTTGATTCAACGCATCTTTGGCTTGTTTTGTCTTGATCTTGTTCGATGTGACCATCCTATGAGTTGACTCAGGTCAACAACGATTACACTGCCCTTTACATCTCCCCAGGTTTCATTCACCTACTAATGGTCAACACAAAGCATAGTTTCCATTGTAGCCGGACTTCGATATTTGCTAAATGTTCATTATTATAAATACTGTCGCGTCTTGCCCTTTTGTGCTCTTCTAAAATGCATCGTTTCCATGAGTCTGTTCTTTTCACTTTCGATTTACGATGACATGCTTGAAGTAGGTGTTGGGGTGTTTTATTAGTGCTGTTAATATTGAAAATCCGGATATGGTCAGACTTTTGTCTCCCCACTGTAGGTTTAAGATTAGTGACTACTAAGTACTGCCTATTGCCTCCCATCCCACAAACCAACTGAAGTCGCTAGTGTTGGTATCGGCGAGTTTCTTTTCTAAAGTATGCTGTGCATTGAAGACAGATTTTGACGTCATTTATCGACAACTTCAGTTCGGTCACTTTTGCCTTTTCCATGCTTTGATTTTCGTATATTATAGAATCTTTCCGGAGCCTCTGTCTGTCACATGGGCTTCACCGGCGACATGTTCTGAGTGAGTGCTGGTGCGGGATGACATTTTGGATATGTTGAACCAGCTGGTCTGAATGACGAGTCTGACACAACCTAGTGTCATCTTTGTACACGGCTTGAGAAGGCACCCGAGACACACATGGGAAGGTCGTCGCGGCGTTGCGGGTAGCACTGTCGAGTCTACAACGCCGCGTAAACGGAAGAACTTTCTAAAGTCTGTCTTCGAATCCAAGCCGCCGCCTGCGCAGACCCAACAGCTCGAACAACCTTCCAAAGTCTTCTGGCCAGAAGAGTACCTTACCAGCGACATACCCGAGGCACGCGTGTGGATGTACGGATAGCATGCAGACGCAATCGGCGGGCTGTTTCAAGCGAACAATAAGACCAGCGTGTCGCAGCATAGCCGAGATCTTGCAGTGAAAATCGAGCGAGAAGTCGACAACGAGGTTATATAGTGGAAGTAAAGTATGTTACTAACTAGGCTTATAACTGTCATAAGCGTAAAAGAGTATATAAGCTTAATAGAAGCGAATAGAGTGATCTATTGTCGTCTAAGTAGTAATAAAAGAGATCTAAGTGAGTGTAGTACTATATATATAATCTAAAAGAAGCCTTTGACAGGCTTAGGTAAGCGTAGGGAGTAGGGGTTAGGTGAATTCGACATGACATGTTGATACTGTGTGACATTGTTAACCTTGACTTGGCACATTATCTTCTTTCTTAGTATCTCGAAAAATATACAACGACCAGTAAAGCAACCTCTGTCCAATCTCCCAGAGCTTGGTATTCAAACTATATACTTAGACAATCGGGCACGCCATTGTTGGTAGTCTATATGGAGAAGTTCGAGTAAACAGAGATTTCCTCCCTCTAAAAGAGCTGGAAGTCCTTGTGGGTCCATTTCTCTGTGAGCTTCGTCCTCTTCTGCTTCCTGAAAGGAATCTTCCTCCTTGCCTCCATCTTGCCTCGCACAAGAAGACTCCGGTATCTGTCCTTCAGCAGATTTCCCTCTGGTTTGAGTAGTCGTAGAGAATCCTGCAGCTCATCTGGCAGTACCAACTCTAGATCTTTTTCCGGTAGCCTGAACTTGCCAAGCTGCCGGCGTCTCAGCTCAACATCATCGCCTCCGTCACTTTCACCGTCACTGAGCTCGACTTTTGCGAGAGCCAGTGCGCGTTCTCGCTCCTCTACTGCCTTTGCAATCTTCTTGATTTCTGCAGCCTGCTGTTCTTTCCGTTTCATTGCCGCCTCGTGCTTCTTCTTCCGCTCTTCCTCTTTCCGACGCTTGATCTTGTTCCGCTGGGCCTGGGTTTTGCGCTCAGGACGTTTCGCCTTGATATTCACATCCTCGGCCCCACTCTCAAACCCTTCCCAGGCCGAGTCTTCATCCCACTCTGATAGCTCTGCCTTTGCTTCCGCGGCCTCAGCCTCAGCAGCCGACCTGCGAGCCGCTTCTAGCTTCTCCGCTTCGGCTTCCAGAGCCGCGAGGCGTTTGCGCTCAGCCTCGACTGCCTTGGCACCCTCTTCTTGTAGGCGCTCCTCATAATCTGTAAACACTGGGTTGTAGCTGTATCCACCAGCGGGCTTGGGGATAGCAGGCACATGCTTTCCACTAGCGGCGAGCGAGATGGGCTTTTGCCGAATAGTCTCTGGTGCCTTCTTCTTTTGCGTCTTTGGTAGAAAGTTCTCGCTATCTTCTACTTGAGGAACCTCTGCCGGGGCAGACCATGGATCATACGTGGCGTCGACTACGGTGACGGTGGCTTCGTGGTGGCCATCAGCAACCTTCTTCAGCCGAGTGAGTTCCTTGTGTGTGACATATTCTGTTCGTTGGCGCTTCGCAGGTATGATGCCATCGGTAGTCTTATCAGCGGGTCTCTTGCGTAGAGATACCGCCGGGACGGCTGAGCGGGCAGCGATAATTTCGTCGGCCTTCAAGCCTTTCCTCTTGGGGTGCTTCTTCGCAATGGTAGAGTCTCCCTTAATGTCGACGGTAAAGAGATCTTCGGATTCTTTCTCGGCAATGACACCGCTGAGACTTTGTTAGCATAACTTGTTCTCAAATCAAGATTGTGAGACTACAAACCCCTTGATAATCTCCTCGTTTAGTTGCTCGAGGCCTTGCTCGACTTCGGAAACGTCGACATTTTTTCTCCAGGCTTTCTTGCCCTTTCTCGAAGGCTGTTTATATTGTTGAGGACCACTAGTCTCCCCTGTTTGGGGCTTGATGACAGGCATCTTGGCTGTCTTTGTGCGGTAAGTTGTTGGAGTTTCACAGAAGTGTAGATATGGAAGAGCAAACTCTCAAATCGGCGGGGAACCCAAAATTTCCATCTTTGCTCATTGCGATAACAAAAAAATTGAGAGTCGCTCAATCCTTATCGCACGTGACTGGCTTGGAAAGGAGGCGGGTCTGGAAGCTTAGGCTTGCCGTGGCCTGTGGCTTAGCAGATTTCCAGCAATTTTCTGGGCTCCACAGGGCGCTCAAAGCTTAGAGTTGGCGGCCCATTCCCAGTGTCCGCAGGGGCGATGTAGCCAGGCAGCCAGCCAGCCAGCCAGCCAGCAGCGATGACGGTGTCCAAGTGGCCGATCTGCCCTGGGCATTGATTGAGGCGTTCCCAATGCGGGAGGCCATCGTGACCATTTCAAAAACATCTGCCTTTCGCAAAGCCATTGACCACGCCACGAAACCCAAACGTCAAAGGGAACCGACGTCTGTTCTGCGACAATAGAAGCCGTCCGTGTCATTCTCTCTACGCGACTCTGTCCTGAATCCTACAACTTCTGCTGTCGGCAATCCGCCTGGATCCGCTTCCCCTTTTCTACCTTTGCTCACTCGAAAAGCAACCGACAACGGAACCGTAACTGAGACCATATCCGACGTCCGCAACCATGGCGCAAGCTGGAGCTGGCGGGTCGTACAACAACCCGCTCAAGAAGTTCAAGTAAATCATATCCATACAATTATCGCGTTTCTGCAGGGGCACATAGCGCGGCGAACACAGTGGTCTACGGTGCTGACTTTCCCGCCTCTAGATTGGTCTTCCTTGGCGAGCAGAGTGGTATGTATTCAAGATGCGGCGCACTCCCAGGAAACGCGAATAGACTTGCTAATGCAATTCAATTGCAGTCGGCAAGACGTCTCTCATCACACGGTTCATGTATGACTCGTTCGACAACATGTACCAGGCTACCATTGGCATCGACTTCCTCTCGAAGGTACACGACGTGCCCCGCTTCATGCAGAGACGAGATATTAACGATCAGAACAGACCATGTATCTAGAAGACAGGACGGTACGATTACAGCTCTGGGATACCGCTGGGCAGGAGCGATTTAGGAGTCTCATTCCCTCGTACATCCGCGATTCGAGCGTGGCCGTGGTGGTCTACGATATCTCAAGTGGGCACTCTATATGTTGTCTCATAGATGGAGGCTATTGACTGACAGTGGTACTCTAGACGCAAAATCATTCCAGAACACGAGGAAATGGATTGACGATGTGCGAGCTGAGCGCGGCAACGACGTCATCATTGTGCTGGTCGGCAACAAGACGGATCTGAACGACAAACGGGAGGTGACGACGCAGCAAGGCGAGGAGGAGGCCAAGAAGAACAATCTGATGTTCGTCGAGACCAGTGCGAAGCTGGGCCACAATGTCAAGACACTGTTCAGGAGAATAGCACAGGCCCTACCTGGAATGGAGGGCACTGATGCTGCGGCACAGGCCTCTAACCAGAGTATGTTCAAAATGGTGCTCCGTCGAGTGCAAGCTTGCTAACATGATCGGTAGTGATCGATGTCAAGACGACAACCACGCCTTCAAGCCAAGAGGGTTGCGCCTGTTAAATGGGAGACATTTCTGCTTCCGGGCAATTTCTGGCATGAGGCGCGCAAGGGAACGGTTTCTGCACAAAGAGTATCCAGTATCTATCTACCTAGGCAGGATAAATCGAGCATAGCGAAGACGGTGGGTTCAAGCATGGGCGGAACAGAAGCTGTATAATACAGGACGAATGACGGGCCCTATGACTATTTTTAAGACGACCACGAGAGGCCGCTGTTACTGGTATTAATTTAGTACAAAACTAATTCTTCGTTTCTTCGCATTCCGTGTTACTTTTTCAGTGTTTGCTCTGTGTGATCGATATTCGATTTCAATATTGGGCCGTGGGTCAGTATGGCAAGTAGGTTATTGAAAAGCGCATTGAAAGTGAATTGTAGTTTTTGACCTATATGAAGCTGTCAAACTGATATATGGAGCCTATAACGGCCAGGGTTTGACTCGTGAATACTTTTCAAATTGATCTGAAGACTTGAGACCTTGTTTTCTTGGAAATGAACAGTCTCTTCAGCCTAACAGCCCATCGTCATGCGCAAGTGTGGAAGTACCCAAGTACCCCGTCGAGCCACCGCTAGTTCCGGATGGCCCGAGTCGACGGATCGTCATCCCACCATTGGACCCTTCTGGGCCGGGCAATCTTAACAGAGCGAAAGCGAAAGCAAACATGCAAAAGCCGCAACAACCCTACGAGTTCACATCACCTACGTTCACGACATATCCAAAGAGCGCCTAAGTTGCGACGAATATTACAACAGACACGATGGTATTAAGATCAAGAGGGCTCGGGTTTTGGATACCCAAACCGAAGGTGAGCGCTGCCACCAAAGCTGCATCGCATTTTGCCGTGGCCCATTACTAACCACGAGACCGATATATCAGACCTTCCTCGGGCTCATGTCCCTGCAGACCGGCACCGAGATGATTGCGCTCATCACCCTCATCAACAAGGTCCCCGGCGTCTACGGCTTCCTCACCATCCTGACCGGCTACTCCGTCAGCGCGGTGCAGGTGTCCATGTATCTATACTCGGTCTGCGCGCTCGTGACGCTCGCCCTGCTGGTGCCGCACATCCGCCGGCGCAGCGCCTTCCAGAGCCTGGCGCTCGCGTGGTTCTACATCCTCGACACGCTCGTCAACACGGCGTACACGAGCACCTTCGCGACCTTCTGGTACCTGGCGAGCCTGAGCAGCAGCGGGCCCGTGTACACGCCGACGGGGCCGGCGGGGCAGAACAGCGTGAGCGACAGCGCGGCGGGCAGCACGGGCGACGCGGCGGCGCAGGCGCAGGACACGGCGGGCAGCATGGTGCTGATCGTGGCGCTGAGCGTGACGCGCCTGTACTTCATCCTGGTGGTCGCGGCGTTCGCGCGCCAGGCGCTGCTGCGGCACGTCGAGGTCGGCGGGGGCTCGCTGGACGACGACGACGGCCGGCCGCAGCTGTTCGTCGAGGGCACGCCGGAGGGCGAGGGCTGGCGGGGGAAGCTGGGCCGGACGATGATCTCGTTTGGGCGGGACTACTGGGTCGGCAGCAACCGGGACGAGGAGTGGACGGAGGACGTCACGTCGAAGCTCAGGAGTAGGGGGCACGGGGCAGGCTTGGACGACCATTGAGGAGCATCCGTTCCATGAATCACCGACGATATATATGCCAGGGGCCTACAATTGCTTCTCTTTCCGACTGGTCTACGGCGTCATGAGATCTGGTATCTACAGTGCGGTGCATAGCATGCGGGCTCGGGGTTTGGCTCCGCTCTCGACATCAGGTTGACTTTTTTCTGCATATATACAGTGCATATGGCAGCAGTGGCGTTCACGGGGTTTGATGATGGGTCCAAGTTTGGGAACAAACACTCGATAGCGTCAGGTACTCGGTATTCTAATAACTACATACACATACACATACACACATATACATCTATAGCGTCATGGATTGCCATGCCCCCTTTGGTTACTCAATTGCAATGCCATCCATCCATCCACTGTGGCGTACTTCTATACACAAGTGACGAGTTAGGCGTGCGGCGAACCAGATGACTTCACCCCCAGTTACGCATTACGCATTAGATAGTAGATAGTAGTGATTCCGCCATCTTGGTGCATTTTTGGGTGACTGGCGGCCAAAAAGTGAAGAGTCCCACAAGCCGAGACTCAGCCGTCGCTAACAAAGCTACTTTGTTCCCTAGGTACCGGTAGGGACCGACAGAATTAGTTGCCGGCAGAGCGCACCTCGCGCACCTATTTCAGACCCCGACAAGCGATGAGATCCGGGGACCGACAGCCGCCTCTGCTAGTCGACCCGGGATTTGGTTTAACGTTAAGGGCAGAGGGAGAATGGAGTGTACGCGGTGGATGACTGCATAGTCCCTAGGTACTACGCAGTAGATGGGTGCGGCAAGTAATAGAATGACGGCCATTGGGCCAGCGGCGGCGGTGGAGGTGCTGGGCGACAGCATTCTTAGCCTTTGGTCCCTCCGGTTCTGCTCTGGAAGCGGCGCTAGGGCGATCACGCAATCGACCCTGACAGTGTCTCTGCAGCAGACTCGCCCATAGAAAATCGATTGTTTGCCGCAGGGCGGGGCTCTTTGAGAAAAAGCGAGAGAGGGAGCAATAACGTTTAACGTTAGGGAGAGAAGAGTAGAGAGAGAGGACATGTTCCTCCGTCACTCTGTTAGCCGAACTGCGCTGCTCACGCTGGTAGACGCTACGACAAGAGACTAACAACCTACCTAATAAATAAAATCGAAGAAAAAAAAAAAAGAAAAAGCTCTGGAGTCTGCTCGGCATCGTGCCGGTGCGGTGGAGGGAGAAAATATTATGTCGTTCTTGTTCAGGTCGCTAGACTCATCTTCCTCCTCCTCCTCTTCTGCTGCTCCTGCTCCTGCTCCTCCATCTCCCTCACTGTCGACTTCGGCGAAGATGGCTGCTCCCGTCCAGATACGGACGCCTGAAGAGGCCGGTACGTCCTTCACTGTTGTGATTCGATCTCCCCCTGCAAATGCGCTGAGCCCCAGCGGTGCGCTGTGCTGTGAGCTGTGTGCTGTGTGCTATGCACTGCATTTGTTATGCGATCCTTGCCTCTTTCTTCTATGACTGCACTGTACTGCTTATGCCCCACCAAAAAACTGCTGCTCTCTGGCTGTTGTAGCTCTCTTCAGGCGCAACAGCACAAACATAGAGATAGAGATGGATCAGGGGAAGATAGCAAAAGAGAATTGTCTGGAGCATCTTGCTAACATCAATTGGCCCTCTAGTCGCGAGGATCGCCTATCTTTCCAGCGATGTTGTCGTCTCGGTCCAGCCGTCGCTGGCAGTCGACTCCGAGTTCTCGGGCCATCTGAAGAGATACGCCGGACGCAACGAGCACAGTCTGGTCGCAAAGAGCGCAGATGCTATTCCTGAGGTAGGTTTCTCTCTTTCACCATGTGCAGTTGTTGCATAAGTCGATATAATCAAGACTAACCAACACATTCCACCTTTTAGGTCCAATCCGTCAGGTACAACACCGACCCATTGCTCTCCGTCTTCACCCCCATACGTTCAGGCAAGCTGGTCTCCGTCACAACCAGCTCTGTCATCCTCCTACCCTCAGTAGGACACCTCTACAAGCTCGCCAACTACCCCGTAGTTATCCACGTTGCCCTACAGCCCGCCAGCTTCCCAGATTACTCCGCCATCACCTCGATCAGGAATTCAGGATGGACCTTCCTCCAGTCAGAGTCTGTTCAGGAGGCCCAGGACATGGCCATCACGGCCCATGCTCTTGCTATCCGCTCTGGCAAGGGTGTCATCCACTTCTTCAGCCCTGCCGCATGCGCCAGTGACGAGGCAATTGGTGCCGAGGACCCTGCGGCGCTTCGTGAGCTGCTGAACCTCGACAATGTTCGCCGATTCCAAGCTGCTTCTGTTGCTGGCTCTGGCATATATGCGGATGATGGCAGAGTGGCAGTGGCTTCAGAACAGCCTGAGCTCCTAGCCAATGGTACTTCACCCCAGTCGCCAAAGGTCAACGGATTCCACGCCGCCGAGATCGCTTCCTCGACAGTCAAGTCCGCCTCCTCACAAGCATCTGAGAAGTCCAATGCGCCCAGCATCTCCAGCACTCCTCCCAGTGTCTCCTCAGCAACGACAATCGAGCCCAACCCGCCGGTCGTCACCTCGGAGCACATCTACAACTACGTCACAGGTATCTGGGCTCAGCTCGAGAAGCTTGTCGGACGCAAGTACAACCCCTTTGAGTACTCTGGCTCTTCGAATGCCGAATCGTGCCTGTTCATCTTTGGTGCCGATGCTGGCCTGTTTGCCAGCGCCATTGACAATGCGCCATCCGGAGAGGATTTTGCCAATGCTGCCATCATCACCCCTCGACTATATAGGCCGTGGCTCGGATCCAAGCTGATCGATGCTCTGCCGAAATCAGTGAAGCGGGTTGCTGTGTTGGAGCAGATTCAAAGAAAGACAACCAAATGGGGTCCCCTCTTGCTTGATGTGCTTACCACGATCAAGAGCGCCGTTGGTGGTGTTGAGACGATTGTGGGCTACCAACTAGGCTACATCACCGAGAAGACGATCACCCAAGCCCTCCGCGGCATATACCAGAATCTTACCTCAGATAAGCCCATCCAGAACTTGGAGGTTGGATCGAGGGATGGTCCCGAGGACACGGCAAAGTACAGCCTCGAGAAGCCTAAGCTGGAGACTGCATATTCGAAAATCCTCGACCAGCTCTTCGGTGAGCGTGTCTACATCGCCAACGCTCTAGAGTCCGAGAACGCAGGTATTTCGACCACGGTCTCAGCGACCCCCGAGTTCGGCTTCGGTTCTCTCCTGGCCCGCAAGGAGCGCAGAAAAACCTTCATTGCTGAGGCGAAGAAGCTCGCTCAGGCTGGAACATTCATGACTGAGACGCCGAAACGCTCTCTTGCTCAGTGGTCCTCGCATGCTGACGACTCCAAGAAGGTCGATGCTCTCGCTGAAGACGTGATCCGTGTGTTGAACATTGATTTTGGAAGCACTGCGAAAAGGCTACTTGCCAACAAGGGCTTCTTCCGCAAGCAGTCTCTGTGGCTTGTTGGCTCCGATGCCTGGTCCTACGATCTCGGAAACTCTGGTATTCACCATGTGCTTGCGTCAGGCGAGAATGTCAACATGCTCATCATCGACTCAACACCCTACTCCGAGCGCGCCGCTGCCGATGCGAATAGGAGGAAGAAGGACATTGGTCTGTACGCCATGAACTACGGAAATGCCTATGTTGCTTCTACCGCTGTCTACAGCTCTTACACTCAGGTTCTGCAGGCTATGGATGAAGCTGATAAGTTCAACGGTCCTTCCATTGTCCTCGCTTACCTACCCTACTTCGGCGAGACCGACTCACCTTTGACTGTCTTGCAGGAGACCAAGAAGGCTGTCGATATTGGTTACTGGCCACTTTACAGGTGGAACCCTGACAACGAGAAGAATGGCGAGCCAAACTTCTCTCTGGACTCGGAGAGGATCAAGAAGGAGCTGAAGGAGTTCCTCGATAGGGATAACCAGTTGACTCAGCTCATGAGGAGAGAGCCTGTCTTCGCTCCGGTTCTGTCGGAGGACTATGGTACTGAGATCCGCGCTCAGCAGAAGAGGAAGGCCAAAGATGCGTACAACGAGCTCCTTGAGGGCCTCTTCGGTGCTCCTCTTACCATTCTCTATGCCTCTGACAACGGCAATGCCACTTCCGTGGCCAAGCGTCTTGGAAACAGGGGTAAGGCGAGAGGTCTGAAGACCACTGTGCTGGCTATGGAGGACTACCCCGTTGAGGACCTGCCGACCGAGGAGAATATTGTGTTCATTACCTCGACCGCTGGTCAGGGAGAGTTCCCGCAAAATGGTCGCCCGCTCTGGGATGCGATCAAGGACAACACCGAGCTCGACCTTGCTTCAGTCAACTTCTCCGTCTTTTCTCTCGGTGACAGCCATTACTGGCCAAGAAAGGAGGACAAGATTTACTACAACAAGCCTGGCAAGGATCTCGACAAGAAGCTTGCTGACTTTGGTGGTAAGAGGCTGGCAGAAGTTGGACTGGGTGACGATCAGGATCCCGATGGATACCAAACTGGATATGCGGACTGGGAGCCGAAGATCTGGCAAGCACTCGGTGTCGCAAATGTCGAGGGTCTTCCGGATGAGCCGCCACCGATCACCAACGAAGACATCAAGTTGGCTTCAAACTACCTCCGTGGTACCATTGCAGAAGCGTTGAAGGATACCAGCACGGGCGCCATCCCTGCCTCGGATCAACAGCTCACTAAGTTCCACGGTACCTACATGCAGGATGACAGAGATGTCAGAGACGAAAGAAAGGCACAAGGCTTGGAGCCCGCTTACTCCTTCATGATCCGGTGTAGGTTACCAGGCGGTGTTTCGACACCCAAGCAGTGGATCCAGATGGACGACATCAGCACAACCCTCGGAAACGAGACCATGAAGTTGACGACGAGACAAACCTTCCAATTCCACGGCATCATCAAGAGCAAGCTTAAGCCCGCTATGCAAGCGATCAACCGCGCACTTATGGATACCCTTGCCGCCTGTGGTGACGTGAACCGTAACGTCATGTGCAGCCCTCTGCCCACCAGGTCGAAGCTGCACCGTGAGGTTCACGCTGCTTCCAAGAAGATCAGCGAGCACCTTCTGCCGTCCACATCCGCTTACCATGACATTTGGCTGACGGACGATGACGACAACAAGACTCATGTTGCTGGCAACGCCGTCCAAGACTTTGAGCCCCTCTACGGACCTACTTACCTGCCCAGAAAGTTTAAGATTACCATTGCCGTACCGCCGCACAATGACACGGATGTGTACGCTCACGATATTGGTCTGATTGCCATCAAGAACGAAGACGGAAGCTTGTCTGGTTTCAACGTCACCGCCGGTGGTGGTATGGGTACTACTCACAATAATAAGAAGACCTACCCCCAGACTGGTCGCATGATGGGCTTCGTGAACAAGAACGACGTGCACATTGCCTGCGAGAAGATCATGCTTGTGCAGCGTGACAATGGTGACCGTACGAACCGTAAACACGCTCGTCTCAAGTACACTATCGACGACATGGGCGTTGACGTCTTCCGCTCCAAGGTGGAGGAGCTCTGGGGCAAGAAGTTTGAGCAGCCTAAGGCGTTCCAGTTCGAGTCAAACGTCGACACATTTGGCTGGCAACGTGATGAGGTTGGCATGAACCACTTCACCTTGTTCATTGAGAACGGCCGTATCGAGGATACTCCTTCCTTCCAGATGAAGACTGGCCTGAGGGAGATTGCCAAGGTCCACAAGGGCGAGTTCAGGCTGACGCCGAACCAGCACTTGATTCTCAGCAATGTCGCTGACGAGGACGTTGATTCTATGAAGGCCATGCTGAAGAAGTATAAGCTCGACAACATCCAGTTCAGCGGTCTCCGCCTCAGCTCTTCAGCCTGTGTCGCCTTCCCTACCTGCGGTCTGGCCATGGCCGAGAGTGAGCGTTACCTACCTGTGCTCATCTCCAAGCTTGAGGGCTGCCTCGAGGAGAACGGTCTGAAGCAGGATTCCATCGTCATGAGAATGACGGGCTGCCCCAACGGCTGCGCGAGACCGTGGTTGGCGGAGGTTGCGTTCGTCGGTAAGGCGTTCGGTGCCTACAACATGTACCTCGGTGGAGGATACCACGGTCAGCGCCTGAATAAATTGTACCGGTCTAGCATTAAGGAGGACGAGATCCTAGCTATCATGAAGCCGCTACTGAAGCAGTATGCTCTTGAGAGGCAGGAGGGCGAGAGGTTCGGTGACTTCTGCATCCGTACTGGTTATATCAAGGCCACGAGGGAGGGCCGTGACTTCCACGATGATGTAAGCTCTCTTCACTGAACACTTTCGAAGTGAAACTATTACTAATTGTGCTTTCAGGTCGCTGAAGAGGAGTCTGAGGAGGAGTAATCTGTGAAATATAGCAAAAACAACATCCCATGGGATCAAAATCTGTTGGTCAGAAAATCCAAAATTGACTTTGGCGATGGGTATACCTGCATAGTACCTCTGGCGTTAAAATTCTGTACTTGTTAATCATCATCATATGCACGATAGCTGGTGCCTCAAATCAAAATGCCACACCTTAGAACATCACTGATCAGAATTTAGTTTGTTGTAGAGCTGTGATAGCTGAATGATCCATCCAAACCACCATGAACTCTTGCCTTCTATAATATCCCTGACCGTGCCATCCGCTACCCAATGACCCATTGAATTTCCCAGTGAATGCTTTATGCCTTTTGGATCTCTACCGTCCCGTCCGCCATGCCAAAGTACGCCGCGACCGGCTTCTGCGCACCGCTCTCCACCTCGAACCCGTTCTTGCCCACGAACAGCCCCGTCTCCACCACGCCCGTGATCTTGATCAGCCGATCCGCCAGGGCGTCCACGCTCCAGACGCCGTCCTTGCCCTCCTCCGCCTGCGCCGCCAGCGCCAGCGGCGCGAACGGCGCATCGACAATCGTCATGCCGTTGTCGGTGACGATGGAGCCGGCCTTGCCCGGCAGGCCGGAGCGCACCTTTGCGCCCTTTGCGCCGAGCAGCTCGAGCTCGCGCAGCACGCGGTCCGCGGCCATGGGCAGCACCTCGATGGGGATGCCCTTGGTCCAGGCGGTGCCGAGCGCGGGGCTCATCTTGCGGAAGTCGGCGACGCAGACGAACTTGCGCGCGGCGGTGGCCACGATCTTCTCCTGCAGCAGGCACGCGCCGCCGCCCTTGATGAGGTTGAGGCGGGCGTCGACCTCGTCGGCGCCGTCGAAGGCGACGTCGAGCTGCGCCGCCGCGGGCAGGTCCTGGATGTACGACAGGCGCAGGCCGGCCGCCTTGATGAGCCCGCGCGACTGCTCGCCCGTCGGGAAGAAGCTCATCGCGCCGGTCACGGCGGGGCCGAGCGCCGCGATCGCCTCGACCACGTACACGACCGTGCTGCCGGACCCGATGCCCACGTATCGGTACGAGTGGTCCAGGTGGTCCTGCACGGCCTGGTAGGCGGCCGCCCGCTTGGACGACTCGATTAGCTGGGCCTGCTGCTGTGCGGATGATGCCATTGTGTGTCTGAAAGTGGAGAGGGATTGAGGAGTTGCCCTTTGCTTTGGAAAGTGTTTCTGCTCTCGGCTGGGGCGTACAGATGATATAGATCTAGCCGCAACTGCTGCAGTCGAAATGGCAGTCGTGCTATGAATGTTCAAAGTGTGTGGTGTCGTGCGTTGAGTCAGCACCAACGGCAGTGAAATAGCGCAACGCCGGGAGATGGTGGCAGGAACCAGCAAGGAGTACATATAGCAAGGCCAATTGACTGTTCGGCCCGTATGTATAAATGGATGATATTTATCAAGTTTCTGAAAAGGGCCGTCGCCGGAACGGACAGTTGCGTGACTTCACTGGCAAATCTGAGGCTTTTGGGTGATCTTTTCGAGTGCCCAGGTGTTGTAGGTGCAGGTGGTCCGACACTAGCATATCATACGTTAGGGGCATTTGTGGGATCCATGATACCTGATTGGCTCGCACTCGGCCAGAACAGCCCTACCAATCTCAGCGTAGACTACTTCGATGTCATGCACGTTGCGATTTGGAGAGTCGTCTGTATTCTGCAATACCTGTCTATATTATCTTACTCGACTACTAAGATAAACAGATTCTTATAGCAGAAGAAGTGCAGTACTGAAAAATCAATCTTCGGGCTTTTAATTTTGTTTCTTTAAGAGGGGTTTCATTGAGATGTGAATCGAATTGGATTGGTCGCCCTGCCTTAATGATTGTACAATATTCAATTCATTCCTGTTCCATTGTAGAAGAGGGAGTAAAAACTCAACCAACAAAACAGACAGCATCTAAGGAAGATGCACTCTCTTGTCATACGTTAAATTTATTCTGCTTGAGATGATTGCGTGAATTTGAAATCAGAGGCTGAGTAATTAAGCGTTAGTAGGCTTTTGAGAGTTTCAGGGGAAACGTACCTCTAGCCAACTCCAACTTTGACATCTCTCTAGGGCCGAACTCGCCCTCTTCAAGACCATTACAGGGCTTTCCTTCCTCGACGGCGCGCCATTTCCACCATTCCGTGAAATGATCATGCTTCCGTTCAAGCTGATTCTTGACATACTATGCCAAGTAGATTAGCACGTGCTTATAACTCAAAACATTTTGGACAGGAGATTCACTTTGCCGAGCACAGGCAAAAACTTGAAGGCATGACCACTGGACACGATTAGTCTCTAAGAAGTAAAAATGTTAATGGGACTACTGACGAGCCGCCTGAACATATGAATAGTGTGTCTGAATAGCCTGGGACGTAATCTATTGCAAACTGTGGTCTAGTGTAAGCCACTAGCAATGGAAAAGAGACACAACATTCCAAATGGCCTGGATGTATACTAGTGACTTACATCGTTGTCGATGGTGTCAGTGTACCAACAGAGCTATGACAAATTACGTTAGTCCATGGTTGTTATTGCAAATGGCCAAATGCTCATACTCTGCTGTCCGTAAAGCCAATCTCAGCTAATTCCGGGAAGTTCGAACCAATGACCTCCTTCATCAGTTTGAGCACGTATAAAGGTACTGTGTTGATGGAATCCTCGCTATATTTGGTGCGTGGGGTTGAGATGCGACTGGGAAGTCTCGGGTCAGCCCCGAATCAGAAAGGTCGTGATGGCGCAGGCGGCTTACATATCTGGCCGTGATGGATGAGCCTGAAAGTTGGTGAACTAGTCAGAAAGTCAGCAACTTTTCAAAAGACTCTTTTGTCATGCATCTTTATTGCGGACTCGCCTTTCTCGCGCGGAAACCAAATTTGAGCCTTCCTTCACGTGTGATGGGAAATCCACCACCCTCGTAGAAGCTATAGTAAAGTCAACAACCAATCATATACATTTGGAGCAAGAATTGGAATACTTGTCACCTGTGCCGGATAGGAATCGCCATACCGGCATATTATCCGGATGGAACTTTTTTCTCAGATCTTTCCTCTCCTCGGGGATGTCAATAAACATGACCGTGCCCATTGTAGCTTCAACTGTCTTGTGGGCTTCAGGAATAACAGCAGAAGTCCAAGGGCCGCCTATTCAGCAATTCAGTAAGCGTGTGTCTATTCAACACTACAAACTCACTTACAAGCGACGATAACGAGGTCCGCTTGATGGACCAAACCGTCACAAGTCTTGATGCCTGTAACCTTTTTATTCGTGCCGTTTTCAATTCGAATCAAGTCCTGCAACTTGCCGCGAGGTTCACCCAACACGAACTTGACCCCTTCTTGCTCGCATAGATGCCGAGCATAGGTACATGCCTATACGTTCATTAACATGAGACAAATCAGGAAATATAACTACCATTACTTTATCTGCGAGCGTTATTCCAGCTGCAGTGTCTAGAAAGCCGTTGGTATCGCCATTCGCGAATTTGTCCACGACATGATACTTTTTCGACCAGTTTTCGCCCAATTTGTCAATTCTCTCTTGGTCATCCGTATTACCCTTGAGCTTCATTAGTTAGATTCTATAAAGCTTCCACATTCTATCATGTACCTTCACAAACTGCAACTTGCGCATCTCAGGCGAACTTTTCTCCGTGGCCGCCAAATTCTCGACATAAAGCGGACGCATTGGCGCGCGGCCTTCTGCAAGGTGATAGACTCCACAAATATCAAGAAGTTTGTCACGTGGACTGAGCGAAGCTGGGAGGTCAGAAACTTGACTATTGCGAATATCTTCATTCCAGTGAAGCCATGCATCTCGCGCCTCAATAGCAAGAGCCTGGTAGCTTGAAACAGAGCCGAAGTTAGTAAAAGTCTGGTATAGAAGACCCCTGATGAAGGATTCACCGATCTTTTGTCCCGTATGTCATGCGAAAAACCTTGTTAATGTCTGAAGAAGCCCCATCACACCCCTTTGATGGGTTGTAGTTGGTCTTATCAAAGGCACAGCGATCAAATACGGTGACATCCCGGTACCCAGCTCGAGCGAGCCATAAGGCAGTACTCAAGCCAAATACGCCGGCACCGACAATGATGATCTTGGAGTCGGTAGAAGACATGATTATAGATTTGCAAGTTGTAGTTCGTAGGTTACGTTTATTGTATGCAATTGAACCTTTCCCTTGAGACTTGTTCTATTGTTTTGAATTTGAATCATAATTTTATGCTCTTTAGGCAACGTGGTCTCGGGAGATACACGGAAGCCCGACAATGCTTCGGCGACACTTCGGACAACCCGGCGCGATCACCACCACTAATACTAACACCCGAAGATAAGAAGCCACTTCAAAAGAACGGAAGCCTTCGGAAGCCCGTGACCATTCAGGATGATCTCATGCAACAGACAATACTGTCTATCAGGAACCTCTCGTGAACCAAGATTAGGAATTGCTGGGGTCAGCAATACATAAGATGCAGACAGACCTCTCAATAAGGACCTCAAATGCGTGGGACAGATTAACAGCCACACAAATCATTGCACTTGTTAGAACATCACATCCAGAAAGTCATCGGCATTATGGGATTTCGAGAACTTCTTGCCAAGTCAGCTCTTGCCAAACATATCGCAGCAGTTAGGTCAGCGCCACGAGAAGTTTGCTTCAACAAGACATTACTTCTGACAGCTCTGTTCTATTCTCAAGCTGCAATAACCGTCAGTAAGTCAATAATTCAATGCAATCAATGATTCTGGTGGATGTTTTCTGGTCTAATAGAAGATTTTGTCAAGCCTGGGATCAAGGCCAAGCTTCGGTGGTGCCAAACCTACCCGGTTTCCAGAAACATTTTGGTATCAGCTCTGGTACTGACGCTCAAGCCATTCGTCACTTTGTCTCGCTGGTATACATTGGAAATAGTACTGGCGCTGCTCTATCATACTTTCTCAATGACCGTCTCGGTCGCCTCTGGTCGTTTCGCTTCTATACTCTGGTCTATATCACTGGGCAGCTCGTTGCTACGTTTGCACCGAACCTAGCCGGTCTTTATGCAAGCCGCATCATAACTGGCCTAGGTATTGGGTCTCTTTCAGCTACGGCACCTATGTCTATAGCTGAGATAGCACCTGCCGAAATTCGAGGAATACTGACCTCATGGTACCCGACTGTGATGGGTCTGGCTTTGCTATCGGCTACCTTTTGCGTGTACGGCGTTCGACTACACGTTCCACCGGGCACTCTGCAATTTCAAATTGTGTGGTTCTTTCCTTGTGTCTACATGGCACTCATAATTGCAGCCAGCTTTCTAATCAATGAATCTCCCCGTTGGCTATTGTTGAAAGACCGGCAGGAGGAGGCCATCGAAGCGCTTACAAGGTTCCGCAACCTCCCCGCTCATCACCCACGCATACAACAAGAATTAGAAGATATACGGGATGACATTCGTAAGAGCTGCGAATTGTACCCAAATGGCCATAAAGCTTCTAGCTTTAAGGCTACAGTAAGGGAAACATTCATGATTCCTGAGAATTTGCGCCGTGTGCAACAAGCTTTCGTCTTGTTTGCTTTCCCTCAACTATCCGGCGCTAATGCTATAACCTCCTACTTGGTCCCGATCTTGAACATCATTGGCGCCTCTGGTTCTGATTCCAGGAACATTTTCCTCAGTGGCATGTACTCTATGTCCAAATTCTTCTTTGCTCTTATTACGTCCCTGCTATTAATCGACGTGCTCGGGAGACGCAAATCGCTTTTCATCGGAATCACGACGCAGATGCTTACGGATATATATGTTGCCGTATATGTTCAGCGTCGCCAAGCAGGCGTGGATGTTAGCATCGCTGCCTCTCGCACAGCACTCGCAGCTATATACTTGCACGCTTTTGGCTATTCTGCTGGTGAGTGATGCATGGGTTCATCTGAATGCGTTGTTCATGGCTGATTAATGTATTAGGTCTGTTTGTTCTTCCTTATGTCTTTGGGAGCGAGCTATGGCCTAATCGAATTCGCTCATTTGGAGCAGCCATAGCTCAGGCTTGGCATTGGATATTTCACTATGCTATGACAGCTGCGGCGCCTTCACTACTCCAGAGCATGGATAATTGGGGAGCTTTTGCGTTTTATGCAGTCTGGTGTGCTATTGCTCTTGGATATGTTTACCTGGTTGTCCCCGAGATTGCAACATTGTCTCTGGAGGAAATCAACGAAGTCTTCCGGGGGCATTGGTTCAAAGCATATCAGCAAACAAAACCAACGATAGATGGAAAAGCATTGGACCCTCTGGATGTCGAACACCAACGAGTTGAGAGCAAGGCGGGGGTAGAGTGAAGTAGTTTGTCGATGTGCTCATCACAGGCCCAGAGGCGCTAAAATACTGCCATCAAGGTTGTGTATTAGGCAGTGTATGTAGTACTCCTCCACCAGGGTAATAAATGTTGGTTCGGCAAGGGTCACTACCTCCTCAACAAGGGTTTACTACCTTTGTAGAAGTTGATATATCCATAGCAATAAACAGAATATTCCAGAACTTAATGAGTATCATAACTCTCGACATTAAGTATCTTCACACCTCAACAATTAACGTTTATTACCCTGGCGGAGGAGTATTTGATGGACGTTATATGTTCGTATGGGTACCACGGACTTCCGTCATGATTGCAAGATTTACTAACTACGAAAGAATGTCATTCACGACCTTCTCACAAGTCTCCCAGAGCTCCTCTGCCAGTTCATCATTCGCACCATTACCGACAGGCTCTTCTATCTGACCATGTGGTACTAAATATGCACCACCAAACTTCTCTCTTTCTTCCCAAACCTGGGGGTTGGTTGCTGCAAACAAGGTATTCAAAGCCCCTTGTTGGGGATCCATTCTTTCATCAAAGGCCCGCTGAGTTTCAGGTCGTACTATCCGTCTGGTCCCGTCTAGAAAGCCGTTAGTGATCTTCAGATGAATGGTGAAGACGAGGGGGAACTCATCTGTTTTGATCAGCCCTGGATGCAAGGATATAGCTATCGCATTTATTCCCCCCTCAACGAATCTTTTGTTCAGTTGTCTTGCGAAAAGGAGATTCGCCAATTTAGAAAGTCCTGTTTTGAAATGTTACATCCTGTTCTCAACTAGGGTAATGTACTCATAATGTCAATATGTGACCTACCATAACGAGTGAAAGCAGCATCACCAAATGGAGTAGGTTCTAATTCAACGTTGAAGCAGGCAGGAGAGTTGAATCTAATTCCCAGAGGAGGGAATTGATATGTACCGGCTGCCACCTTTGCTCAAGTCAGTAAGCTTTGCGTTCTGAGGTTGAAAGAATGACATACAACAACCACGCGTACACCTGAATATCGGCCGTTTTCTCGAGCAGGGGGATCAATGCTTTAGTTAAAGCAAAGGGACCAAGATGGCTTTTCTTTGTTATTAGTGTTATAGTTTACTTGAAAAATAGTGCAAGGGCCATACTTGGTTGTGAAGCTGACAGAAATTCCGTGAGAATCGAGATCTAAGGGCATGGAAAGACTGTCGCCATTAGTGAAATGGCAACAATCACCCGAGACTATGCCTACACTGCGGCGTTGTGAACAAGAATATCAAGCCTATCCTCTTTACTCAAAAGGTCTTGTGCAGCCGCCTGAACCGCTTTCAAATCACCTAAATCGGCAATGAAAGACTCAAGTTTATTCACTGCAATAGACGGGTTGCTCGATCTTATCGCTTGGATAGCAGCTTCTGCTTTTTCAGAACTTCGTGCTCCGATATACACTTTGGCACCATGAGCTGCTAGCTGGTTGGCGGTATGGAAGCCAATACCCTGAGTAGAACTCGGGTTATTGTCAGCTTTATTATTAACATGGATGTCCGGTACACATACTTTGCCCCAGTGACTAGGGCAACCTTGCCGGTGAGATCTGGGATCGCCTTGGCCAATGGCCATTTCAAGTTTGGCATCGCTATCAAAGGTAAACTAGCAATCGATACGGTCCAATTATGCTCGATCCAGTTAAGTTCTTGATGCTGGTCAAATCTCCTTGATATAGCTGTGGGTTGCTGGGGGTCTTCCATAGGCAGACTAGGTGGTCTTGGCGGACTTGGGGACAGCGGAATAGTCTCAATTGGGCGTGAGATCCCCAAACCATGTGCTAATTAACAATTTGAGAGATTCTACAGTTATCAAATTCTTGGTTTCCAAAGAGCGAGGGATAGACTTGGACGAGGTAAGATATCTATGTGATGGGTTAGGGAGAGTCTCAAATAATAAGCCCGCACCTGTCCTGTCCTTCTACCACAACCCTAGCCCTAATGACATGAAAGACAAGATGTCTCATAGTTGCTGCCAGTGCCCACAACGGCATAATCACGCCTGCTACGGAATATTCCAGCCTCCCGGTCTTCGGGACAGCTCGGCTCTTCACCTGTCAATTGTCACTAATCTAGCCTCCTGATAGCGCCTGTCCTTGCGGCACAGTTGATCCTCTAAAGCCGCAAATTCCGGACTATTCTCCCATTATCCCGGCCTCAATTAGACATAAAATTTGTGATTGCCGCCATCACCTCACTGCTTTGAAGAATGAGATTCAGATTGTATGATTTTGAGAAAAAAAAGTAACATTATGTCAAAGGAAATGAGCAAACTGAAAAGCT